CTGGTTAACTATTCAAGAGCTCTCCCCAAGAATAGCTAACTGACATGTCTCACATGTCTAGTGTGACTCCCAGAGTCAAGCCATAGGCAATCAACACAAACTGTAGTATGAAAATAACTCCCAGAGTCAAAGCCAAAGGCAGTCTACATACCAAAGTCACTGGCCAGGATTCTCATAACATACATCATCATTGCATCATCATAACATCAAAAATCATATAATATTTATATGAATGTGAATGAATGCACATATACAACATATCAAACACTTATTCATAAACTGAGCAATATCTTTCTTCATACCAGACCACCAGAAATTTGGTTTCATGGCCTGATACATCTTGGTAGCAATAGGATGGATAGTGTACTTACCCATATGGGCCTCAGTTAACACCTCATCCACTATCTGACATTTCGGAACAATGATTCGATCTTATTATACTTAACACCAAGCTTATCAGTGAATACAAAATCATTTTCTTTCATAGACTGAACTCTTTTATCAAATAATTGAGCCTTTTTAATCCGCTCTATTAACGAGTTCAGTACTACAACAGAAGTCAACAAATATGTATTATCCTCTGAACTGGCAGGAGTGTTGAAATCTCTAAACTTTTTAATCAAATCATACTCTGAAATCATCAAATTAGCCATACAGACCGCCTTCTTACTTAAGGCATCGGCTACCACATTGGCTTTACCTGGGTGATATTACAATTCAAAATCATTATATTTTAGAAATTTCACCCATTGGCTTTGCCTTATATTAAACTATTTCTAATCAAACATATACTTTAAACTTTTGTGGTCACTGTAGACAACAAAATCGGCACCGTATAGAAAGTGTCGCCAGATTTTCAATGCGAACACTAAGGCCGCCAACTCAAGATCATGTGTTGAATGATTCTCTTCATGCAGCTTTAACTGCCGAAAAACATAATCAACCATCTAACGTTGCTGCATCAATACACAGCCTAATCCTAACTTAGAAACATTACAATATATTTCAAATTTACCTGCAAGATCAAGCAAAATTAATACCGGAGTGTTACTTAACTTCCTTTTTAATTCCTGAAAACTCACTTCACATTCTTCGGTCCACACAAATGGGTTCCCTTTACGGTTAACTGCGTTAAAGGTAGTACCATCAGTGAAAATCCCTCAATATAACGCCTATTATATCCAGCCAAACCAAAAAAATTCCCGATCTTTGTAATATTTTTAGGACATTCCCAATCTAACACTGCTTCAATCTTACTCGGGCACTGCCACGCCTTCAGACGAGATGACATGACCCAGAAATTGTTTCTCAGAAAGCCAAAAATCACACTTTAACGGTTTAGCATACAACTGATGCTCTCTCAGAATCTGCAAAACAACTTTCAAATGCTCAGAATGCTCTTCTTTGCTATTTGGATATATTAGTATGTCATCAATAAAGACAACCACAAACTGATTCAGATAGGCTTTAAAGATCCGATTCATATAACTCATGAAAATGGCCGGTGCATTTGTACGCACCTCAACAAACATAAGTCTCTTCATCTCAAGATTAGCCAACCTATTGGCCTCCAAAATATCCTGATTCACCTTAATCATTAATTTAAATTCCTGCTGCCAAGATGCAGCCAAAGTCTGCTGCAGTGCAGTCAAAGCTGTCACCATAGGATCCGGTGGTGGATCATCATTATTAAATGTCCTACGAGTCCTACTTGGAGGAACCATATCTCTGCATATATTACACTAAGGAATGAGTTAGCTACGCTCACACTCAGTGATCACACATGCATTATACAGCACTCCAAGAAAACACTCAAGAACTTCCAACTTCAAATATCTTATGCCATATATCATGTAACTCCCTAGAGCAACTGCTCTAATACCATAAATGTAACATCCCCGTCTCGAGCCGGTTCAATTAACATACATATGATACAAACAGAAACAGCGGAAGACTTAACTTACGAAAATACGAGCTAACTTTTTCTTTTTCTTTAATCCTTTTTCACATGACATATCACATCGCATACTTCTTCTAATTTAATTCTTATTTGACGGAGACAAAAATCGGACAGAGTAACCTCTGTAAATCGGACAACTGGGATTTGCAAATCCCACTCTCAAGGTACGCTGATAGATAATTTATACAGGATATACTTTCAGACATACCAGATATCTATATAGGATCATATACCCATCCATGGGCGCATGCATAACTTGGCTCCGTGCCACAATGTCTAACATCATGCAATCCAACACAAACATAAACTGAATACTACATCATCATATCAACATGCCTGAATACTCAAATGTACATGCATCCAACTGAAAGACATGTACAAAACATATACAGGCCAGATACAAAATAAAGGATCAGACATCATGATCACCAAATGAATAGGACACTATACAACAGTACATGTTCTCCCAAAATAATATCTATAATAAATAGTAGCCTCAGGCTACCCAGAACTCCATATCCTCACACTGGTACCTCTAGCCACGGGTAGTGTCCTTGTCCCATAAGGGCTCTTCAATTAACTGTGTTCATGAAATCATATCCTCAAACGGGGTTAGAGACGAATCTCTAGTAAGCTTCAGGTTTATAGAGAACTCTCCATACCCTGGGCTCACTTCCTGCATGACAGTCAGATACATAATATACAAAACATCATATATCATACTATACTGAACATATCTCATATAACATATCATATAATCAAATATCTTAACTAAACAAAGCATATACATAAATCTTATCAGAGACGTACGCAGTCATTCCCAAGGGATTACCCCAAGCGAAAATCAACGCACGTAACAAATATCATATACAAAAATCATCATAATAATCACATCAGAACAAAGCATATCATATCAGAGATGTACGTAGTCATTCCCAAGGGATGACCCCAAGCAGAAATCAACGTACATGTTCCCAGAGAGGACCCCAAGCGGAACCAAAAACATATCAGAGATGTACACTATTAGTCCAAAGGGATGACCCCAAGCAGACATCAGTGCACATAGGATCAATGGCCAAAGATCATCACATAACAGAGTGTACACAATCAATCCCAAAGGAGGACCCCAAGCGAAAATCAGCGCACAGGTTCCCAAGGGAGGACCCCAAGCGGAACTCAACATATAACAGATATATACACAGTCAGTCCCAAGGGAGGACCCCAAGCGGACATCAGTGCATAAACAAATCAATGTCCAGAAATCATTACAGAAATCATATCGAAACATATCAAAGTAAACACATCAAAAGATATCAAAGTAAACACATCAAAACATATCAAATTAAACACATCAAAACATATCAAATTTAACACATCAAAACATATCATATCACATCATCATATGGCTCTATATGAATGCATCTATATCATATATCTCATACATATCATGCAACCTGACCACAGTCCGTACACTATGGCGGAACACAAAGTAGGAGCGAACCCCATAAACATAGAGCTTACCTCTCAAAGCTGTATAGATGGCCTACCCAATAACCGAGTTACCAAGCCTCCTCTGATGTAGGATCCTCAACAAGACTCTAAGGCACACCTAGAATAGGGAATCCATACAAATATTAATAAAATGGTTCAAAGCCAAGTAGTTAACCAGACACGCCATTTATTGATTTCATCTTTTACTTATCAAATATTTCTTAACTATTCATACATACGGTACTGTTCATCTCTACGGTACTATTCATGTATACATCACTATTCACGTATACGGTACTATTCATATACGTCACTATTCAAAAATACGGTATCTCAATTTTTCCAAATACATTTTCACCGTTAAAATCTTCATCTGAACACTTTTCTCAACATGAGTCAAGCCTCAATCAAGCTCTAACATGCTCAATCAAACCAAACTTTCAAAATAAAAACCTAAATTCAATCTTCCTCAAAACTCAAAGAAAACCAGGATTTATCAACATAAACTTACCTAGAACGAAGAGGAAGGCTTACTTCAAGCTCCCATGGCTTCAAGCTCCATCAAAATCCTCATTATCCATGAAATCCAAAATCTTAGATGAGGAAGATTTGATTTCAAACTTCCATTTTCCTTCTCTCCGCCACTATCGTCCGCGAGGGGAAATAAGAATGAATCGTAAGTTTTTTAGAAATTTCACTTATATAGGTTAAGTTAAATTCAACTGGGTAAAGATTTATCTAACTACACACCTCCAGTCATTACCAAACTTTACCCAATAGACTAGAATATTTTTCTAATCATATTTTTAACTTTACTTTCACTTTTCGGGTAACTTTGTTTACCCGCATTTTTATCCCTTAACTGTTATTTTAACTTTTTTTTCAACAAAGGTGACTTTATTTCTTTTACTTCTAATTATTCTTCAAAATTAAATCCACAACTACTAGTGAGGGCTATTATACTCACCACTTATTCAGTGATCCCTTTACCATAAATGAAAATTTTTCTTTCATTTCTATCCCTATCTTTTTGATTTTTCCCTCTTCAATCCCTTCTTTTTTTCTATTTTGGGGAGAGACTACCATGATTCAAGCCCACAAATATTGCAATTTAGAAAGATTAGATAATCAAATTCTAGTTTTCTCCTTACACTACCGTTTGGGATATGTTAATGGGATTTATACTTTTGTCACTTATCTCCAGTTATAAACTCATCAAATTGTATGCCTTAATTTTGTTTTATTTTATAAAAATATAGGTCCCACTAGTGAATGTCTCTACTGCAAAATCTCAACCTTTACACTATCACTGCAGAGGTATAAAACCCTATGTTAATATTGGTAAATCCAATGATAAAATCATTTTCCTCATGTTAATTTCTTCCAATATGTTAACCGTTTTATTACTTTATTTCTTTAATTTTTTTTCTTTTCAGATTAGGTTCGACACGAACTGTTATCAAATGAATCCGAACCGATTTCCAACTGAACCGAACCATTTAAATCAATACAATTCAGTTTTTTCAAAAAATCAGTTCAATTCCACCCATGCACCTAGACAAACAAGAGCCGAGAAGAAAGTCTGGCGACTTCCTACTACTACCAAAACTCTGGTGGGAAGTAGTTAGTTCCAAAAAAATTTCCAAAGGAGCCCCAAGCTAGCCTTGTTTGTTTCAGAATTTTCTCATGTACATTAAGAAACATGAAGCAGGAAACATTAAAGCATAGGGAGGAAAAGTATTTAACAAGTTCACTATTTCCCATTACAATTGGCATGCTTATGGAACGGCCAAAGATTTACTAGGCGCTCAAGCATGCTGCTTTTTGAGAAATAGCCAGAGAACCCCGCAGGTGGTGCTGGTGGAGGGAAGTCTTCTGCAGGCATGGCAAATGGACGAATCATCGTCTCCATTTTTTCCAATGTGAGATATGATCCTATTTCTTGCAGCCTTTCAGGGCCCATAATTGGCAGTGTGTGCTCCTGATGCAATGAAGTAGCCTCACTATCATTCTTCTGTCAACCATAATGGAACAGAGATAAGCTAATGAAAAAGAAATTCAACACCTAAAATCAACATATTTACTGATATTCCTCACGAAAAGTTGTTAGTAGGAGAAACCTTATCATACCAATAAATGGAATTAGCATGGAATGAGTATGTAAAACTAAAGTCCAAAGGCCATAGCATATTGCTACGTGTTATGAGCAGCAAGTTTGAGAAAAAATAATGATGCTATGCGGTATAGCTTGAAAACTTATGGCTTCAAAAGAAGCTTCAAATTAGTTGCACTATAAGTATCCTGAAGCGAATGGATATTCAATTGAATTTCAATTTCATACCATACACGGGATACAGTAGTGGCAAATGGATAGAATACAAACCCCTCTTCTAGATTTCTTATTAGGAAAACTATATAAATTGAACATCATTACCTCCAAGGGGGATAAATCAGCACCGCGGCTAAAAGTCAGCTCTATGCGGAACCTTTTTGGATCTTCTAAAGCCACCTGTAGTTCAAAGTCAAAAGTATAATCAACAAAATACAGTTACTATGTAAATTACACATTACATAACTTCTGATAATCAGTTATGCCTATCAAAATATTGTAACTGTTCGCACTGAAAGGATTATAGATTTCAGTTGGATAACTATCCAAGTCATGTTTGATAAAATAGGTCACTTTCTATGATACATGCAACTGCTTCAGGCAACCTCATTTGCATCACAACTGGTAAAAGGCTTTGCTATTGTTGTAGTAACACACCTCTGTATTTTCAAACATCCTCAGCACAATGTAGCTCATATAGTCAAGCTCCTTGGTTCTATATAGGCGCTCTAAAGCATTATGGCAAACGAGGCTCTCTTCTTCTTGAAGAGATTCGTCCAAATTACAATAACGAAGAACATTCATGAGAGAATGGATATGTGATTCCTGTCAACAAAAAATAATACGGTAAAAAAGAAAGAGTTTGGAAATAAAATTAAGAGATATTCTATGCAAATGTCAACCACAAAATTCTATCAATCTGTCAATTTGGATGCATCTATTTAGATAAAGGCAATTGTACCTAACCGTTCAATATAAATTAGGTTAGATAAAATTGAAAAAGATCTTATTCTCTAACAATACCCAGCCAACATCATGATAAAATTTTGGGAAAATCACTAGAAAGGAATTCATCGTAAAATATTCAGTTTGGGAACAATTAACCACTCCACAGGTTAAAGATGTTCAAAATTAAACAGATTAAAGATGCCAACAATTCCACTTATAATCTCCTTAAAATCATACAAACACAAAATGGGAAGGGAAGGGTTTAGAAGTAAATTTCAGTTCAAAGTTTAATAACAAAATGTGATACAGAACTCACTGATGTAAAGTACAGGCGTGTCCGCACATGGCGTTCCGGCGTCTTTACATTTGCATACCTGACAGAGAATAAAGTTATTAGAATTCAACATAATAATGTACAAAAGAAGATGAAGACCTGATATTTACTTTGGATCCAAACGATATTTGGTCTCTTTATCATCGTCATCATCTTGATCCATTGATATATCGTTCGAAGTGTTGGATTTTCTTATTTCATCATTCTTATTTAGAAGTTTTGACTTGGCCTCTGTATCATCCTTTTCAGTTTTCTCGGATGATGAATCATGGTCCTGGTTAGTTTTTAACTCAGCAACACTAATGGCTTCCTCACGAGTATTCCTCAGATCAATTAAAATTTTGCCCAATAATCGACGCGCAATCTGATTTAAAACAACACACACAATTGAAACAATGTAATCAGGTGGCTATAGTTACAAATTACAAGCACATATGTAGAAACTATGCATCTAATCAGAGTACTGCATGTTGATAATAATATCAACTGCAAGAAACTGAACAAAAATAGTTACAAATGGATTTAAACTATCATAACACAGTTTTAGATTTTTCATTGAATCAAGTGCGGATTTCTTATTCATTAATTAGGGGTTCACTTCTATAGCAGACTTATTGTATAATTTTGTACATACGGGTATTAAGGAAACTGTTTAAAGATTTGTAACATGAGAGGCTCCTTACAGCAGGAGTTTACCTTTGAGCCAATCTTCAGCTTCTGCTCTGGATTAATTCCATATTCATTCGGAATTACACCATCAGCAAGTGACTGCAAATAAGAAGGCAGGGCAATAAGGAAGCCGGAAAGATTGAACTCATCAGTCACACTAATGAAATATACAGAGGAATATTATATGCCAGGGTTTTATCTCGGCAAGCGAATACTTGACTCAGGTTTTAAACTTTCAAAAATATATCAAGTGGATTCCAATGTTGCCAGGTCAGTCTGTCTTCTACTGGTTTAACTAGTTCTAATTGAGCACAAGTTTCCCTAACATACTACTACATACCTGAGCAACTTTAAAAAGCTCATCCAGTCCATCTAGATTAAGATGTGCATTGTGCAAGAGATCATATCTGCAAAGTTCAAGTAAATATTAACTTCTCATAAGAAAGGAATAAAAGAAGCTAAATAATTAAATGAAACTTACAATTTTTTCTTCATATTCATAAAGTTGCAGATTAGTTTTTTATGCATATCTGATGCACACAGATATATTAAATAGAGCATGGAATGTACGATAGCTCAACAGGTAAATTTCCATCAACCAACTATAGGGGTCTTTCGAAGACTTTGGCAACATTTAGCACAAACAAACTGAACTCTTTGTTTCTGATATAAATAATATCCAAGAGGGGTGAGGGGGAAAGGGAAAGATAAAATAAAGTTTTAACACTATAATAGCAATCATGGAAACAAAAGACTCAGCATTACATAACAACCCCTTGAAATCTACAAACAAGCTCCCGGAAAATGATAGTCATGACAATAATTTTTTATGGCAATTCCATTCATAGAATGATAAAAATTCCGGCTAGGAATCTAATCTATCTCCATGATTGCTGTATTGCATAAACATTGTAGAGCTGGAAAAGTCCTACTGAGTTGTCATAAAAACCTGAGGAAAGAGATAACTTACTTGCATGAATCATAGACATCAGGAATTTGGGTAATGTCGAAGCGCCTGTGCAAATAACACACCATCAGTGCATCAGCCAATACATTACGCACACGCACACAAGCACAAAAAAAAAACGCAACCACAATGGCTATACATACAACTCATAGAAAGTCATGATAGTTTTGTGAATGAAATTGTCACTGGTAAAAGCTAATTTGAAACAGAAATTAGAAACAATTAAAAGCATTTTAATTAATGAAAGGAAAGTTATAAATTATGACAACCAAAATCATTTTTTCACTTGTTTTACATGCTACATGGTAAAACTAAAGTATACTGTATTACAATGGCCAGAGAAGAAAAATAAATTAGAGGAGTTAATATAAATAATGCATATATGTATTTAAGGATGATATCATCTACAGATAAAGGAAATATCTAAATAGTGTTCATATACAAACTACAGGGGAATGTAATATTTTTTTATTTCACAAATAACTAGTTTTTAGAACTTCCAATCTGACAGCATTTGATCCTGTACGTAACAAAAACTTTCTCAAGTATTAATGGAATTCAAATTAACATTTTGCGGTCCTAATATCCAAAAGAGAATACATCCAAAAGAGGTAAAAGCTTACGCCTTGCGTTCATTATACAAGTCTCTTTCAAGCTTTTTCCACCGGGCATACATTAATAGAAACCCTTCACTGCCACAAGGTAATCCAGCAGCTATTCGATCAACATCAATATTTGTCTTCCCTAGTGCTTTTGCTTGGTCATAAGGAGGAATGACATCGTATAAGCTTGTTTCTGTAAGTTTTTCATCTTCATCTATGGCAAGTTGTCTTACTTGTTCAGTAACCTTCTTAGTCAAGCTAACCTATTCAAGAGGAATACAGGGAAAATTGAGAAACAAAAATAGCTTTATTTGCATTTTCATAAGAATAGTTTCACATTCTATTAATCATGGAAGCCTAAAAGAAGGAATTAGGAAGCAATAATTTCTGGTGAAAACACCATCCTGGCAGGATTAATAGACTCGTACAAAAGCAAACAGGTTTCCCTCAAATAGAGGATGAGATAGTCTGAAAACTGACAAAAGTTCAGCATGATCTTGAAAAAGGAAAGCAAGCGTACCCTACCAATTTTTAAATTTACCAAAATTTGATAATTTCCAACTCAATCAACTTTTTCCGGCTTTTTCACCCTTTTACCCCTTATTAATTAATTAATAACTATTTTGCCCCTGATTCGAAACTATTTATCAATCTGCCCCTCTTTAATCGACTACCTTGCATTTTTAATCGACTAAATGGCCAAAACAGACAAAAAATGGCTGCTGGGAGATTTAGTCGACTAAATCTCCCTATTTAGTCGACTAAATCTTCATATTTTACAAAAAAAAAAATAAGTCAGTATGATTTTAATCGATTAAGTAGAGAGATTTAGTCGATTAAATCTCCCAACAACCGTTTAGTCGATTAAAAATGCAAGGTAGTCGATTAAAGAGGGGCAGATTGGTAGATAGTTTCGAATCAGGGGCAAAATGGTTATTAATTAATTAATAAGGGGCAAAAGGGTGAAAAAGCCAACTTTTTCCTGACATATTACCTTAAGTCCTTAACAGCATATATGACAAAAAAAAAAATTAAAAAACAAATGTAAAATATCTTTGGTGGTCTATTCATGGTTGCTTAAGGGGATTTCTATTTTTAATTTTAAAAGAGAATAAACGGGGTAAGCTTGTGTCCATCTAACCATCCACAAACCTACAACAGTGGGATGCTTGCTCTAGGCCTTCCCTTTGTTTTAGATTGGAGAGATTTGTTGCATTTTAGTTGTCTCTCAATTTTTTAAAACTTTGTTTAGAAGGATATCTTAAGCACTATTATGCAATTTAACAATAAAGAACCGATCTAACCCTATTTCTCTTTTGCTTTTATTAGAAATATATAAAACCATTAATGTAATCTCACCCATCAGCTTAAGCTTTTGGGTTGAATTGGTTCTTTACATGGTATCAGAGCCTCGATTTCACAGGTTCGATCCTCATCGCCCCCCATTTAATTAATAAATAATTAAGTCTTATGAAGTTTCTTAGCACATGTAGGTGAACCTATGCATTATCCACCCTTCAAGCCCAATGGACTCTTATGTGAGGGGGTGTTAGAGATATATAAACCATTAATGTAACCTCACCTATCAGCTTAAGCTTTTGGATTGAATTGATTTTTTACAGCTTCTCACATTCAATGAGTTCCATGTGTGTATGTTTTATATGAACAAAAGATCAGGCATTTCCAAAAAAAAAAAAGATCAGGCATTAATCCCAGAGATTTTTTGTCAAGACAAGCAACGCCACTCTTCTAGTGGATTTCATCATTGCATTTATCCTTTATTTATATGCCACTGATCTATGACACCATCAGCATTTGGGCGATGAAAATTTTATTTTTCAAAAATATATGGCAATAAGTTCTTGTTAACTTTTCTTCTAAGTCACTTTTCAACTAAAGTTTTCCACTTTTGCTACCTGAAGTGGTTATTTTGTGATGAGACGGGGTTATTCAGTTCCTATAAATTTCAGTTTTTCTTTTAATTATAAAATATTGTTAGGATTACGAACCAAAAATAAAAAAGCATTTCAGAAAGAACTGAATCAAAACTTTCCCATTATTCTTGTTGCAGAGTCTGCATATACAAGGGTCAAAATTTTAGTTAGTCAGACACAAAACATTATATGGTTGAGAGGATTGTTTGACATGGTATTACAGCTAGAATAGTTATTTTTCTTGAATAACACATTTTTGTCAAGCAATTCCATTTCCTTTTCTGTTTCTGTTCTGATTTTACTTACATGAGACGTTATTATACTTGAGAGCTAAAACTGAGATAGCTTCAACAAATCAGTACTAACACCAACCGATAAAAAAAAGATTTGAATCATTCAATATCTCACAATCAAGAAACAAATTGTGTTCAATACTAGGATCCAAAAGGGAATTACATTGAGGTTATTTGTAAAACAACCTTGTGGCTATGGAGCTCACCCAATAAATGTTGGAAACAAGTTTTGAAGAACATAAACATGCAAGCCTAAAATAAAGTTATATACTAGCGTCATCATACGGCAGCACATTAAGAGAACCAGATTACTCTCCCCAATTCAAAAAGTTCATTTTAACTTCCTTTCTGAATCATGAAGAAAGAGGTTAAAGACACAATGATCTATATTTGCAAAAACATTACCAACTTGGGAAGCAATTCTGATGAATTGGGTGGCAATCCAGCTCCATCAATCATCCAAGAAAATTCAGGTGACTCATCGTTATGAACTGTCTTTGAACTAGACGTAATGATTTCATTCAGCCGAGCCTGCAGAATATTCAATCAAGACAACAAGTAAAATGAAGACTGTAATAGTTTTCCTGTGACTGGGTGCATAAGAACGACCTGAATCCTACCTCAAATCTATGAGTAACATAAGCACTAGATACCATTGACAAGCGTTCAAAAGTTTGATCCCTCTTGCCCCATTCTTCTTAATATAAAATTAAATTTAAAAGGCTCTAGCATGAAGGGTGAGTAAAAGATATATAAAACTATTCACGGACCTCCAAATAGCTCAAGCTTTCATAGTCTAATTCAAAAGAGAGTTTTTCAGACATGGATAACACCTCTGCAATCTTTGAAATCAAGATCTTTCTTCATGACTTACGACAAGGCGATTCCATTCTCACTGAATATTTCAATACCCTCATTCGATATTGGCAGCGGCTTGACATTAATGAAGAGATAGAATAGAAAAGCCTTGAAGACAGCAAGCAGTACAAACATCTCGTGGAGAAAGACAGGATTTACAAGTTCCTCCTTGGACTTAATAAGAACCTGAACGAAGTATGTGAGAAGATTCTTGGAACCGTGCCATTACCAAAAATTCGAGAAGTACTTTATGAGGTGAGAAGGGAAAAAATATAATAGCCCTAGCCTAATTAATTAGTAAATTACATGTAATTAAGTAATTAAGCATGTATTAATAGGTTAAAATAAGTAAAATGCCTAATTAAATTAATTAGGGTCACTTTTGAGGTAAAAAGTGTACTCAGTGAAAATTAAAGGATATAAATGGGTGTAGGCAAAAGTACCCAAAATATAGAAATGGAAGTGGAAATATTTCTAGAAAAATATTCCAGACCTTTGGGTAAAGTTTGGTGCTGAATGGAGTTGAAAAGATAGATTAGCTAATACCCGCTTGATTTCACTTAACTTATGTTAAGTGACTAAAAAGCAAAGAACCCACTTCATCCCTCCCCACATCCGTCGAGCAAGAACCAGAAAAGGAGAGAAGGAGAAGAGAAAAGAAAAAAAGAAAAAAAGAGGGAAACCCTAGCTCCCTCAATTCTCGACCTTTTTCCTTGATTCCAAGGCCTAAACCACTCCAAATCTTCTCCTCTTCCATAACCCTAGCTTGGTTTTGAGTGGGAAGCATTGTGGTGGAAGATTTCTTCCTCCCAAATTTCGACCCACATGGCTTTTCGAGGTGTTTGAAGACATTTCCTTCAAGGAGAGCTTAAGGGATCCACCTTCCTTGGTTGTGCAACCCTTTGTGGTGAGTTTCCACTCCTTGAACTCTATTTTCATGAGTTAGATTATGATGAATAGTGTTTTTAGAGTTTTATGATAATGTGAGTAGATTGGTTATGTTCTAGGAGGAATGAAGCTTAGTGTATGTTGTGAAAAATGCTAGGAATGCCATTTAATCGGTGAAGATGAGTTTAGATAGTCAATTGATTATACTTTGAAAATTGCAAGATTATATACTTGATTGTGGATTTTCTTGCATTAGTAATCAATGGTTTGGTTTGGTTGGATATTGATGGTGTCCATGTGATGGCTAGGATTGAGGCAATTGAACCAACCTTGAGTGACCAACCGTTGGAGGGAGCTATGGAGCTTGATTAGCTCATTGGAATAGGTAAGCTCATGCTTTGTTGTGGGATGAATTGGATAGTTTGGTTGATGATTATGAGATATTCTTGGAGGCAATATGTTTTGATTGCATTATACATTGTGTAGGTGTTTGTTTGTGAAGTTGATTATTGTAATTGGTGGTAGAACTTGTTGGCGAAGAACAAAGGTTGAACTGAAGCTTTGAGGTAAGCCTTCGGACCTTAGGTGTAATTCCCTTGATTGTTCCACCAAGCCCTGAATGGGTAGTGGTTGTGATAGTGTATATAAATGCAATGAAATAGTTTAATGCTTTGTTATACGTATGTGTATGCATTTGGTGTGGCATAGGATGGTGTTTCCCTATGTTGGTATGTTGTATGACGATGCGTAAATCATACTTGGTAGTTTAGCTGGCCAGTAGGACTATTTGCATCTGAGTATCCTTAGGACAACTTGAGAGTTCGAGGGATTTCTCCTGGAGATGTTTGTTACACACTGCATGGATATGTATTTATTGCATTATTTATTGTTATTGCTATTACACTGAGATTGAACTATGGGGTGGAGAGATGCTCCAAGGACCCCTGGTTTACTGTGATATATTCGTATATCTCACCCCGTGTTATGGGGACCCCCTTTCAGGTAAGGATGCTGCAGGAGCCTCTGATGGCAAGTGGCCATATTTGCAATAGTTGATACATGAAGATGTTGCATCATTGAAATTAAGCATGCTATGTTGTAGTTCATATGTATAGGATTGTGAATTGAAAGTCAATTGTGATCTGTATATTATGTTTTATTTGGATGGACTTAGCCTATGCGCATCTCCTTGGTTATCTCTTTTGTTGATGAGAGCCAAGGGATTGATCATAGTGTTTTGTAGCTAAGTCTCATGATTTTGTAACTAAGACATGTTGTGATGATGTAATGTTGTAATTATTGGATATATATATGATGAAAGGGTATGCATGTTTCTCTTATTGTATGTGTACCTTGAAAGAACAAAGAATCATGTTGGGAAGTGATTATATGTTGTCTATTAGGTGGAAGAAGACCTTTAGACTTTAAATTCATGTGGAAATGAAGATATCCTGTCTTGTTGTCCATTTCTCATATCCTATATGATAGATTTGGACCCTTTTGTCTTAATGGAAGTTGTAGATCTTTTTCTTAGCTTTCCATTGAGACCAAGATTGTGTAATTTGGATGTGTATAACTCTAGTTAGGGTTAAAGCACTAAAGCTTGGTGTTGTCCCCAGAAATCTGGTGCTAACCGCGCCAAGGGACAGAGAGGGAAACGCATTCCCGGCGCTAATCGCGCCAGTCTGGCGCTAACCGCGCCAAATACAGGGAAACCCTCTGAGGCTTGGCGCTAATTGCGCCAGACCCAGTAGAAATCAACAACTATTTTCGTAGAAGAGTCATAACTTGGACTACGATGCTCTAATTTGAGCGCGGTTTGAACCTACGCGTAGCTATTAAAGAATCCTATAATATTTTGGGAAAATGGAGACCATAAAGGTAGTATAGGAATTTCTTAAATAAATAAAGAGTGGATATGTGTAGTGTTTAAGAACAATAAAGTTGAGTTTTAAGCCTTGGTGGTCTAAGGGGACTACTTGGCACCATATAGTAGCAATATTTGGTCTAAGTAAGATTTGCAATAAGTGTTCCACATGTAGTTTAAGTTATAATCACCTTATGGGAATTGGTTTGAATTACGGAATGAATTTTAAACAAAAACGATTATAAATAAAAAAAAAAAAGGAAAAAGTTTATCCGTATTTTAATTCAATTTTGTGATTGTAACTGCGCTTAATGCCGTACGTAATGGTAACAAACCGGTTCTAGAACGGGGTGTTACAAAAAAGTACAAGGAATATCATGTTAGGAAGCTCAAACTCAGTGGCTTACTCAGAAAGTTCAGCCATGGCAGCTAAAGGACTCAGTCCAATCAGCCACACTTCCAAGAGAAGAAAATTCACCCTTGGTGTGAACTAGGAAGACTGGCCACAAAGAAGTGATGGGCAGCCTCAATAATGGCAAACCAGCAGATGCAAAACCATCCCCTGGTAGAGACAATCATAGGAATACAGCCGCTTCAAATATATCTGAGACGGACAAGGTAAGAGCTACTTTTGAAGCACAACCTTTCAGCAAGGAGCATATGGAACTAGTGCAGAAAATACTCTGAACAGACTATTCAAAATGCAGGAACAAATATTAGTACAGTGTCTATAGGACAGAAAGGCTCTAATTGCATGACTGGGGATATTATAATCTTTACTCCTTTCCTGTCACAATAACTCCATAGTCCAAATTGCTTATGGCAACCTCTCAAAATTTGATAGCAAGGGTTTAGTTGTTTTCCTAAAGGATATTTATTACCTTGGACTCTGTCCTTTATGTTCCCTTACTCGGCTGCAACTTGTTGTACATAAGCAAACTGACAAAGGACCTCATTTGTGTTATTAAATATCTACCTTGTGTGAATTTCAGGCATTAGACTTGGAGAAGAGAATTGGCAATGCTGAGGAGTGTGACTCTACATCCTTTGGGATGATGACTCCAAGAGGATACCAGGAACTCGTGTTTGTGCAGTTTGCTAGTTTCCTTAATTGCGATAGAGATAGATAGCCTACTCCTAACAACTTAAGTTTTTAGAGGAGTTTATCCTTTGACATCAAAATGTAACCAATTTTAAATATTTCATCATTGGTGCAATGCCTATAGTATAGAAGAACGACAATATAAATATGAATCAGCGTACGAATTACAAACCTTGGCTTCTTCCATTTCAATACTGGCATTGTCCAGCCCATCCAACATGGAGGAGTCTTTGCTAACAAGGGAAACCTAAGATAACCATTTTAGTCGGACATATCCAGCACAGAAAACAGATTAAATATTTTCTTCAGAAAAAAAAAAAAAAAAACAGAAAACAAACCAGGATTGGTGTTAGCTGTCCTTCAAGGTCAAGAAGACCTTTGGCAAATGCAGCTGCAGACATCTGTTAACGCAGACCACGTATTAAACAACTCAAATGATGCTATATAAGACAACTTAATCAAGTTAGCAACAAAATCTAGACATCAAATAATCAAATAAGAAGCGGAGCAACAGCTATTAAAACAACTGAGGCCTTCTTTTGATTGGGGGAGAGTTAGGGTAACAGTCTATACCTGCACACGACCCTCATCAGAGCTGTAAATCTTAAGATCATGACGGTATGTACTATGAAGGCGAAGCAGTCCTGTACCTTCTCCTGCAATTTTAAAGAACTTGATTTGCCGTTATTATACATTGTACAATCCATTGTCATGTCAATGTTACAAGAAAAATGAAAGATCATGCTTAAAACAAATTATGCTGACTAAAACCTAAGAAGCAGTGATAATCAAATTTTTTCAACATGACAGTATGGTATCATAATATATGCGTATTCACATACTGTACAACTAGCATGGATACTATCTTTTCTTTAATTTTTGACCAAAACTGGTCAAAATCAGTAAAATTATTTGAAATACATCAAAAAAATAGTTTCAAAATGCAAATAAACTTTTCAAACTGCTGAAAATTGGTTTTGAACTGTGTAAGATGGACTAAAACATGTTGAAAACCTTTTCAAACATTTAAACTTGTTATGCTTTTGTACTTTTTAAGATGAAAATATAGTAAACAATATCTTTAATGTTACATGTTTCTAAACTGGCAGATCTGAACATCAAACTGAGCTTTTTTTTCTTTTTGTTGATTGGTTAAAGATTAATCTCAAATAAAACAACTAATAGCATATCTTAAACTCAAAAAAGTGACACAAGAGTAGTGTGTTAGAAATATTTACTCCCCTGGGCAGAGCAGTGGGACATGTGATCAGCATATAATGATCTTATAATTACATCTCATAAAAACACATTCATAAATACAAATGTCCTTGACAGGTAGATCCATAAGAATAATAAGGTTAATGGAAAGCAAGCGAATATATTTATAATTGAATGGAAAAATACTAAATAATGTTTTGCAATAATTAAGTAATGGGTTCATTATAATATATAGAACTAGCTAAACAACTACTTTTGTAATATAATGTCTAAACTATGGTAATAGAATATTTTACAATGATTTACTGAGAATATTATGTGGTGAAGTCACTAAGACAAATGTGGGATTATGGCGAATTTATTCAAGAAAATATTGCTATAGTAGGACTGTTAGGTTAGCACAAATCAGTTATCATGAGAACTTTACATTCCACGACCTAAATTTAAGCTAACAAGGCTATCCAAAATGCCTAAAAGAAAATTATTCTTATTAGTAAATGAATAGCACCAGGTTGCCCTATTTTTAGTAAATGAATATTTTATTATGCTTAAATTACAATAAAACTGGATCTCCTTTTCAACACATAAAAAACAGCCAGCTTTTAGGGAAGCGGGGAGAGATACATTAGGAATGAAGACACTAACATACAGCACATATAGTATCAATTCTACTAAAGCTTAAAACAATTAGGTGGAGACCCATGGATAGTTTTATATCTCTAAAAGCACACACTCACAGAACCGGCATGCAGATTTGACAGAAATAATCTAAATATTACTTTAGACAAACTGTGGTCCAACATCTGCAGTCACAGCTGAACAAAATTCTGCTGTAACATGACTTGGTGCTTTTTAATTCTTCACAAATACATTCCTGAATGAAAATCTATTTGAGTTACCTGGATACATATTATTACGGAAATATCTTCCTAGCTCTTCAGCCTGCAGAGAAGAAAGCATAATTAAAACAACTGAAAAGAGGATTATAAATGAGAATTTCACATTTAGCACCAACAATAACAGCATTACAAATTTACAATCAAACTCAAACTGAACAGAAACATTTTTTATGTGTTTATTAATCTGAACCTGCTTTCTGCCAGCATGTGTAAGAACACCACCATATTTAAGAACCATCAAAGCTTCAACAGGTCGTTCTTCTTCACCTTCTGCATTGCTTTTGGCCACCTTGACCCACTTTAGTGGCTTTAGTTGAACCTTTCTATATATGCCAGAGAAATGTCCTCCCTAATATTTGAGGGTGAAAAAAGTAAAAGAAGCATCCCAAGACTTTTTGATTAAAATTATTAAAAAAAAGAAAAAGAATCAAGGCTGCAGTTATTCAAGTACGCGCAGGAGTATTATCTTCCACTTCGGGATGTCACAACTATCAGACAAGTTCCTGTATGATGTGCGATACAGTAACCATATTTTTATCTAGATAAACACAGCAAAAACAACAACAAAAGCCTTTCTCCACTAGATGGGATTGGCTACATGGATCAAAGAACACCATTAGATCCTGTCAAAAACCAAGTCTTCAAAGAGGCCATTTTACAGTCCTTTACTCCTTTTTAACAGTTTCACTTGATCAAGGATTTACCAAAGCAATGAAATCTACATTTGATATCTCATACTAATTTGTGAAGTTAGTGGCACTGGACCAATGGGACATGGGCTTCAGCTATGAAGGAAGCTATAGTATTCTCTGTCCTATACCATGTTAAGAGATGTAATAAAACCATTCATGTTCTTGTTGAGATATATAGTCTCACATTGGTTGTATGTGCAACTAATGTGAAGTTTATAAGGCCTTGGGCACTCCCACCCTTTGAGCTAGCTTTTGGGGTGGTGTATCCCAAGGTTTTTTACATGGTATCAGAGCCTCGCCGCCCCCCACTTTCTCTTGTGGACTTTCTTAGCACAAGTAGGCTGGGCCTGTTGCATCTTCCACTCTTCAAGCCCAATGGGTTCTCGTGTGAGGGGGCGTGTTGAGATATATAGTCCCACATTGGTTGTATATGCAACTAATGTGGAGTTTATAAGGCCTTGGGCACTCCCACCCTTTGAGCTAGCTTTTGGGGTGGTGTATCCCAAGGTTTTTTACAGTTCTCACACTCAACAGCTTATGATTTTGAGAGAGTTGGTTCATGACATGGTATTAGAGCCTCTATAACCAAGTGGTCATATCAATATTTGCCACCTATATTCTTCTAAATAACAAAAGTTGAATGTCAGTAGAAGGTGGGTGGTCCTATAAATTGTCCACACATCATGCTCAAAGAACTCTTACGTGAAGGAGAGTTTTAGATATATAACTATTCATGAGCATTCACCTAAGCACAAGAATGGTTTTATTATATCTTTTAACACGCCTCCTCACACAATATTGCTTCGGACTTGAACTGTGGATAATATTTAAAATAAGGGAAGCAAGGATCAAACTTCTTACTACTTGGTCAAGGAGGCTCTTATACCATGTTAAAAACTAACTCTCCCAAAAGCTTAAGTTGTTAGATGAATACTCATTATATCTAACATACTTTACTTAATAATATGGGAAAAAAAAGTCACTTCCCATTAAATCTCAACTAGCAAGGGTTGGGGTGAGAGCAATTCTCGTACGCTGTCTTACCCTTGCATATTTGCAAAGAGGTTGTTTCAATATAGGAAAAAAAGAAAAGAAAAAATATGTTTTCGTTGTTTTTGGTGAGAAGAGGTGTTACTCTGAAATGGCTAGAGGTTAAAATAGTTTTTCAAGTCGAAGAGCCGTCTATGAAAGTTAATATAGAACTGAAAGTTCAGTCAACATCTCCAAAGAGCAAAACCAATCAAAAGGGGTACAAGTCAATTCAGAGAAGTTTTGAACGACAGAAATGAAATTTTCAAATTTAAACTACAATCATGTTCTTAATACTATACAAACTTGAGAGTATCATAAAAAACAAAGTCAAGAGAATTAATAACCTCCTCAAGAACAGCTTTAACTTGGCGGAGCTTTTCAGCGTGCTCAACTTCAGCCTCACTATCACTTTCTCGATCTGGTCTAAATAATATATGCATCTATAGTTAATTCAAAAATCTTAATAATAAATATATACTGATCAAAAACCCATAAAATTACTTGCAAACAGAAATAGCAGAAGTGTTGGTTTTGTAACATGGCTCCTTAATGAAGATACATTAAAAGGTAAAATTCTAGGAATCCAGAAATTTTTTTGGATACAAGAAGAAATTTCATTAGAAAGAAAAGCAAGATAAGTTATCCTCCTTTGCGAAGGCATAAAAAATAATCAAAGTAAAGCATGTGAAACATTAATATAAAAGAGTTTTTCAGGCCTCTGTATATTGAGGCTGATGCAACCTCCAGTCAAGTAAAAGATAGTTACATGAATCAAAGGTACAACACTAATAAAACAAATTGACCAAACTGGCCCAAGAAATAGGGTAATGGGTTAGAGAGAAGGGAGAGGAACCGAACTGTGATTGCAACATGCATACAAAATTTATCATGTCTGTTGAGATATATAAAAACTATTAATATAGCCTAGCTTTTGGGTTGAATTGGTTCTTTACATGGTATCAGAACCTCGGTGTACCGGGTTCAATCCTCACCGCCCCCACTTTCTTTCTAGTAGAATTTCTTTGTTTGCACAGGTCGGCGGTTTGTGCATTGTCCATCCTTCAAGCCCAATAGGTTCTCGTGTGAGGGGGCGTGTTGAGATATATAAAAACTATTAATGTAGCCTCACCCAACAGCTTAAGCTCTTGGGTTGAATTGGTTCTTTATAATGTCGAACCTAGGTTTGGTGTCGGGGGGTGTCCTGGAATGGTTGTTGGTGGGTTACCTGGAGAGGAAGCAAGGAAAGGTCTAGTGAGGGATGGCTTGGTGCAAGAAGGGTCCGTGAAGGCTCTTAGTGATCCAATGCAGTTAGGTTCTGAGGTTCCAGTTGATGTCACTTTGGACGTTGCTTCGCATGAGGCGAGCCAGTTGTGGGAGTCTGAAGGAGCTAAGGCAATCCAAGTAGGGTGGGGGTTACGAACGAACCCAAATAAAGCGAAAGGTAGGAAATTGGTTTCCTATAGGGACCAAGTTTTGTGCTTGAATGGGGATGGTTATGTCTTGGAAAGTGATGAGGAAGTCTGGGTTTCGAAGCCAGGACAAGAAGAGGCTGAGGATGGCCTGTTGGACGAGCATACGAAGGGAGAGGAGAACCTTTTGTGTCCAACCTACGTCTTCTCAAGGAAACAATACCAAGACGATTGCACGCAATGGAGGAAGGCTTTGATTATTGTAAAGAACTAACTCAACCCAAAAGTTTAAGCGGTTAGGTAAGGGCCTTTTTAATGGTTTTATATTTTACTATAACATGCCTCCTCACAAGAGAGCCCATTGGGCTTGAAAGGTGGATGATGCATCAGACCCAACCTACTTGTGCTAAGAAATTCCACAAAGAAAATTGAGGGCAGCGAAGATCAAATCCGGGACACCGAGACTTTGATACCATGTAAAAAATCAATTCATCCCAAAACCTTAAGTGATATTAGAATTTAACATGATATCAGAGCTTCAGTGACCACAAGGTCACAAATTTGATCCTCACCACCCCCACTTTCTAGTAGAATTAAATAAAAAGCACAAAAGATAAACCAAAAATTGGGCCTGTGCAATATCCACGCTTCAAGCCCAAAAGGCTCTTCAGTGACCACAAGGTCACGAGTTCGATCTTTACCGCCTCCCACTTTCTAGTGGATGATTAGGAATGTGTTTGGTAAAACTCTTAAAGTTGACAAAGCCTCTTTCAAAAGAGACGAAGGTTCTGATGGGGACAACACAGATAGAGCAAGATTTGCCAGGATCTGTACGAAGGTAGACTTAAGGAGAAGTTTTGTCTCTAGGTTCAAGATGTGGGATTATATGCACAATGAGGAAGTGGTCCTTAATGTAGGTTATGAGGGTTTGCACCTAATTTGGTTCTCTTGCGGGAGGTATGGTCATCATAAAGAGGCATGTAATGGAGGTTTGGATTATAAGGTGTAGAAAAAGAACCGAGCCTGTCGTTCAGGTTCAACAAGAGGGTAGAATTGAGGAATGTTCAAGAATGAATAGAGTTACAGCCACTGCTAAGGGGGATGGAATAGTTGCCAAGGATAACGAAGAAAGCGCCTTTGGGGCCTGGATGGTTGTGAAAAGAACGATAAAAGGGAGGAAAACTAGACCACCGTAAGCGGTGTTGAGCAGGGATAAACCGGAGTCTCTTCCGGTAACATCGGGCAACTCAAAACTGTCAATGACCAAAGTTGGGGAAGATTACTCCAAGGAGAAACCCGCCTCACAGTCGAGGACAGAAACGGAAGAAGTGAGCCAGAAGGAAAAGGTTAAGCAAAAGGAAGCAAGCCACTTAAAGGACAAACCTGGTCCCAGCTATAAGAGATCCACAACCTCGGAGAGGTGTTTACATCAAAAAGGAAATAATGCTTTGTCAAAGTTAAAAGGTCCTTTAGCCGAACATAAGAATAACAGAAGATTTATACCTAGTCAACTCTCTCGATTGGACGCAATGTCAGACAAAAAGTTGTCAGTCACATTAGGTGGAGAGAAGTTTCAAGCGGAAAAGGATGTTAGCAGGAAGGAGATAGAGTCAGAGATAAAGTAGCAGCGACTTGATGCTCTTGTGCTATTACACAGGTTCACCCAAAAGAACCCTGATTTGGCGAGACTTGTGAACTAGAATCTGCCTATATGGGCTGTTGGGCCCTTGACGCTAGTTTAATGGGCCTTCTAGTGCTTAGCCCCGTTTCGTTTTTGTTTCAACCTTATTTGATGAATATCTGCTATTGGAATGTGAGGGGCGCTAATAAAAAAAGGTTCGCGTTACTAGTGAAGGATATGGTTAGTAAAAATGGGATTGAAGTTTTGGTGCAGGCTGAAGTTAGGAGTAGTGGACTTGTTGCGTTAAGAAGAGTTAGAAGTTGGGCTTTGATGGGTTTCATATTAATGAGGTTGATAGGTTTGCTGGAGGGATTTGGGTCTTGTGGGATAGAGCTTCTGTTGTTGTCTCCATTCTAGCCCAACATTGCCAATTTGCCTACACGCATCTTACATGGACCAATAGTAATAAATCGGAATATTCCATCTTCATCTTTGGGAGCCCGCGTCGTTCTGATAGGAAGATGCTTTGGGAGAGCCTTTGTTCTATAAGCCAACAATCTCTTACTCCTGGATTGTCGTTGGAGATTTTAACGCAATTCTCTACAGCTTAGAGAAAGCTGGAGGGGACTAGCTTGCCAAGGTAGCATTAATGATTTCAGTGATTGCCTTTATGCTTGTAACCTTGTGGACATGGGCTTCAAGGGCCCAAGTTTTACCTGGAAGAGAAATAGGCTCAAAGAGTGGTTGGACCGTGCCTTATCTAACGCAAATTGGGTCAATAATTACCCGGAGAGGATCATTTTACACCTTCCGTTCTTTAACTCGGATCACCGGCCGCTGTTGCTTTGGGAAGGGAACGTTGTGCGGTGTGACCATGTGAACAAACCCTTTCGATTCTTAGTGGCCTGGCTGATGGGGGATGGTTTTGATATTATTGTTCGCCAATTTTAGAGAAAGGAGATAGAGTGGGGTAGAGCCAGGGACTCTTTCCAACAAAAAGTTTTAAGGTGGAATGCGACCATTTTTAGGGACCATATTCGGAGGAAGCACCTCCTCCTTGTGCGTATTTCAGGGCTGGACGAAGTGGTGCAGAGGAATCCCAAACACGCTTTGGAATTTTTGCAAAGCAAAACTATGGGAGGAGTTGAATCTTATTTATGTGCAAGAGGAAGTGTCAGGGTTTCAGAGGTCGAGAAGTGAGTGGCTAGTCAATGTGGACAAGAACACGAAATTCTACCATTCTACATCCAAGTTTCAAGCCCGCCAGAACAAGATTCTCACTTTGAAAGATAAGGACAACGTGTGAATCGAGGATCCAATTCTCCTCAAGGAGAAGGTGGTGAATTTCTTTAGTAGCTTTATAAGGATGATGGTTCCCCAAAGGTCTCCCTTTCCCATCTATGGGGGTTTCCCTAAAGTCACGAGCCTTTCCTTTCAACTTATCCACTCTGTCCCCTCGAGCCTGGAAATTAAAGAGGTTTTTCTAAACTTGAATCCCTTTAAGGCTCCAAGTCCGGATGGTTTGCAAGCGGTGTTTTTTCAATCTAAATGGAGTGTTATTGAGGAATCCATTTGCGTGTTGATTAAGAGCATTTTTGAGAATCCAGTTATGATTGGATATCAACCAGGCTCACATTTGTCAAATTCCGAAAGTGGATAACCCTGTTTCAATCACCTAACTGCGCCCAATCAGCCTCTGCAACGTCATCTTCAAGTCCATCACTAAGATCTTGGCGAACAGATTGAAACCTCACCTTAGTAATCTGATTCTCCCAAATCAGTGCAGCTTTATTAAAGGCAAGCACAACACCAATAATATCATTATAGCTAAAGAGATTATGCATTCAATAAGGTTCAAAAAAAGGGGTAAAGGGTGGATGACCATTAAGGTAGACCTTGAGAAGGCCTACAATAGAGTTAATTGGGCTTTTCTTTAGGAAACTCTTCTGGAAGTTGGGCTTTCTACGGCAAAGAGAAACTTGATTATGCAGAGTGTTACTTCCACCTCTCTGAACGTTTTGTGGGAAAGGTCTACTACTTGAAATTTTCATCCTACTCGGGGCATCATGCAGGGAAACCCCCTATCCCCTTACCTTATTATCCTATGCATGGAGAGGTTAGGTCATCTCATTTCTCATGCCACTGCGAGGAATCTCTGGAGGCCGATCATTATGAAGAGGAAAGGTCCCCCAACATCCCATTTATTTTTTGCTGACGATATTCTTTTGTTTGCAGAAGCTACCCTTGATCAAGCGAGTTTGATCAGTAGGATTTTGTCCTGTTTCTGTCGTTCTGCAGGGTAGAAAGTTAGTGACGATAAGTCTAGAGTGCTTTTCTCCAATAATGTGAGCCACTTGAGAGAAAACGAAATTGCTCAAGCTCTAGGTTTCTCTATTACCTCGGATTTGGGCAAGTATTTGGGAATTCTGCTATTGCATAAGAGAGTGAGGGCCAATACTCTTGACTATATTCTTCAAAATATGGACAAGAAGCTTTCGAATTGGAAGAGGAATACTCTTTCGCTGGCAGGGCAGGCTACACCTTCTCAAGTAGTGTTGTCTGCCATTCCAACCTACACTATGCAGTACCGTCTCCTGCCTGTGAGGAAATTGAGAAGAGATCGCGTAATTTTCTCTAGGGTTCTTCACATGAGAAAAGAGGCTTTCACGCGGTATCTTAGAGCAAGATTTGCAGAGAGAAGAGCAGGGGTGGTTTGGGATTCAGAAGCATGAGAGGCATGAACCAGGCCCTCCTCATGAAAGTGGGGCATGGCCTCTTAACTCAGAAGAACAGCTTATAGGCAAAGGTGCTTAGGAATAAATATGGTGCGGGGAAGACTTAATTTCGGCTGCTACTAATATGCACCAAGTCTCGAATTTATGGAGAGGGATCCAGAGAGTGTGGCTTAAGGTTATCCAGGGATCTAGAATTCAACTTGGAGATGGCTCTGATACAAGTTTTTGGAGGAATAAGTGATTAACCAACAAAGAGCTGATTCCGGGGAGAGACTTGGTCAGTTTCCTGAGGAGGTGAAGAATTGGACCGTTAACAATTGTGTGTTGGATAATGGGAGCTGGAATTGGGGCATTCTGGAGCAGTTCGTAGCTCCCCAGTCTTTCACAGCTTTGTTCGGGATCATGCCTCCAAAACTGGATAATGGGAAGGATCTTGTTACTTGGGCAGAATCTCATGATGGCACGTTTTCTGCTAAATCAGCTTATTCTCTGCTAGAGGTCGAGCCTGTTCATCGGAGTCAAGGGGATGGTTTGATTCCGTGGAGATGGAGACGTCCTAAGCGCATTCAGATGTTCCTTTGGAAAGATGTTGACAACCATTTACTGATGAATATAAATAGAGAAAGGAGAGCTCTGGCAACTAATAACCTTTGCAACAGGTGTGGTTTGGAGCCGAAGGATACTTTGCATGTGATACGAGACTGTGGCTGGAGTAGAGTGATTTGGGATCTTATTAGAGCAGAGGAGATACAGGATAACTAGTGTTCTATTTTTTGTGTTCTTTGCTGGCTGATATGGAAAGCTAGGAACAAGTGGAATTTTGAAAATAAACTCTCCAACCAAGAATCAATCGTTAGGCAAGTGAGGATGTTTGTGTGGAACTACAATTTGGCTTCGGAGAGACTGGGAGCCTTCAGTCTGCAGAAAAGGGACAGGGTGGAATGTTTCATCTCTTGTAAATTTCCTCCCGAAGATTGGGTCAAATTGAATACTAATGGAGCCAACAACTTGGGAGGTGAGTGTTCTAGCTGTGGAGGGGTTATTCGGCACGCAGCAGGCACCTGGTTGGGAGGTTTTTGCAGAAAATTGGGTGTGGGATCATCCTTGAGAGCTCAGCTATGGGGCATTCTCGATGGTCTTCATGTTACTTGGGAGCTGGGTTTCAGAAAGGTTTGGGTGGAAAGTAACTCCCAAGTTGCTAGTAGTCTTATAGAAAAGCATTGTGATAGCTGCCATCCTCTAGCCCCTATCATTAATTAGATCCGTTCCTTTCTTAAAAGGCATTGGCAAACTAGAATCAGTCACACCCTCAGGGAGGGAAATTTTGTAGCTGATGCGATGGCTTCGAAGGGAGGCTGTTTGGATAATTGGCAGTTGCAGGTGTTTATGGAGACTCCCAGGGAGTGTTGGGAACTCATGAATAGAGATCTGATGGGCATATCTAGGCCTAGATTTTGTATTTCTGATTAGTTGTTTTATTATTTCCCTGTTATTCAAAAAAAAATAAAAAAAAATAACCACTTGACCGAGCAGCTTAAGCTGCTAGGCATGAGTGTAGGACAATTTATAGAATGAACTCCAAAACAATACACACACACAGTAGTTTTTGTATGTTAATTCAATGGAACTCAGCTCTGATTTGGAGCTTCTTATCATATTCTTTCTTTCTTGTCTCCTTTTAAGAGAATATATTGTTCACTGTAGTTGTACTTTTCACATCTGGATTTTCTTTTCGCATCTTTCATGATTACACATTTACAATTGTTCAGAGTGTGCAAATAATAATCATATGAAAAATAGGAAATTGCACAAGGCATCTTCTCGTTCATTCAAAAGAATTATTGAGAAGAAAGCTGACTGTACCAGACCAGCCACAATTTTCTGAAATTTGATTACTCTTTGGTGTGAAATGGAAAGTGAATTGCATGTGATGCTAATGTGTAATCCATATTGAAGCTTGTGCAGGTGAAATACCTAGTACGAGGAACTAGCATGCGTGTGGCATCTAACAGATCTTGCAGTTGAACAGCACTTTTAAGTTTTGTCTGCAAACCAAATATCATTAGAGATGCAAAAAGAGGGGAAAAAAACTTGATAAACTGTAGTTTTTTTTAGTAGAAAAAAAATGAAGAATGTTTCAGCAAATCTATAAGAAAGATGAAAAGCTAAAAAATGGGAAGTCAAGTACGAAACTGGCTACTTGAAGCAACTCCCCACTGAACATGAGGAAAAAACTACCCACTAAAGAACATGAAAAGAAACTACCCATTACAATATGAAAATAGGGAAATAACTTCCTACACACAACACACTACACTAACAGCTCCTACGCACATATTCTGACCTAAACATTACAAAAGCACAGGAAAAAAATATTACCTCAGCTCTAGGTCTGCCTCCATTATATTTCAACATTAGGTTCAGCAGCTTTTCCTCAGTAACTTTTAGCTTCACCTTCTGTTTGGGAGTTCTATCACCACTGCCAAAACAGAAGAGTGAATAGAAAAGAACATGGTGCTTAACAAATCTAAGCTAAAAAAGGGAATGAAACATACTGACGAATGACAGCAATTACACAACGTAGTTCCTCAGATTGTCCAAAAGTGCCAATAATACCACTACCCTGACGAGTAAGTCCCTCAGAAGGTTGGACCAGTTCATTTACTTTCCATGGTAAAGTTGGTGGAATAGCTGAAGAAAGATGAGGCGCTTTTGCATCTAAGAACATCTTGCGCAGCACACAGGCAGTATCATCATAATACCTTCAGAAGCAGCAAATGAAAAATGATGAGGTTTCCACCAAAAACAAATGCCAAGAGAAACAAGCAATGTTTGAAAAGACCCCTCGTATCTAGCAGAAATCTACTCGAATCAAAATAGAAAATATGAAAACCAATTATTTTTTTGACAAACAACTAGCAAAGTTGTCATAAATAGGTGATGTTCTTTTCTTATTTTTATTTTCAATAGTATGGTGAGGATGAGCCTTGGAGTAGTGATAAGGTTGCTCCTTTCTAATCAGAAGGTCACGAGTTCAAGTCTGAAAAACAGACTCTTTGCAAAGCTGCAAGGGCAAAGCTGCAAACATTCCACCCCCACTCCTACCCTCGCAATGTTGGAGAGCCTTGTACAGCGAGGTTTTCCCTTTATTTTTTGCATTATGGTAAAATGTTTAAGAGTTTCAAATTTCTAATCCTTATCACAACCCAGATTTGCTTGGTTTATGTAATTAATTTTTGCTAAACAGCACCCTATGGGTCTGCAAGGTTCTTAAACAGAGTACATAGGATGTTAAGAGGCCGACTTTAATTTCTCTCCCATCATTCTCTTCTTTTAAGATTATATCATCTACCTATCTCTTCACATTTACTTCTCTCACACTTAACTTTACTAAATTCCCCCCAAAGCTTTATAATTTGAATTTAAATTATTTCACCTTGCCTCACTCATTTCACTGTTATGCCATATATGATAGGTAAACTGATTTACACTCCATAACTACTCTTTCAATCAAACTATTATTCATAAAAATATCAAACACAAATGATCAGGCAACCTCCAATTCAACAATATATCAGAATTGATTCCCTAAATCAAGATATGAGAAATTTTTTGCTTTATTCTTAATCCAGAGATAGGTAATATGCACTTTAGGCACCAGTGTAACTGCTAGAAATGTTGCTTTTAGCAAATCGGGGTTATGGGAGGGATGTAAGAAGTGTTGTATGTAAGAAGTGAACCCCTAGTGATGTATTTTGAAAATAAGCAAATGCGAAAAAATATTAACTACAAAATGTTACTTGTGTGAGTTTTTAACAAAGCTCCATCCATTGACATCACAAACATAGGAGCGTCCCTCACATCTCAAGAGATCAAACCCACAAACCTGCAAGCAACAAAAATGATTTATAGTAGGACATGAAGAGGAACAGACCTAAAATATTTTCTTTTCGCCACAAAATAATAGCCATTTTCAGAACTTGTTCTTAAAAGTGTGTCACATGCATATGAAGTTGAATGCGTACAACAATGTGGAAACTTCAACTCAGCTACCCCTTACCAAGGTAATCAAAAGAGATAGGGCATTTTACTTCCTTGAGCCAGGAACACCAAATTTGCATGCCTTACTCTAGAAAGGCGTTAGTATTAGAAGAAAAGAGAGGGGGCACTCTGCCATTATAAAGCTTCCGTTATGTCCAGGGTCCAAGGAAGGGCTCGACCCATTGTGTCGATTTATAATAGCCAATCTCCTGCTATGCACAGGGTCCAGGGAAGGGTCAGTCTTACATTGCAATAGGTTGATTACATGAATCGAACTTGTACCCTCCAGGTCACATGGCAACAACACCAACCGTTGTGCCACAGTGGCCTTTCTAGAAAAAACAGATTTTTTTTTGCTATTTTGCATTACTTTGCCATATATATTAGCTACTCAAGCACAACATTTGCAGTAAAAATAGAAGGTTAAGGTGTTCAATTACCAAATCCTAACCTGCTTGATGCTAAATAACAATCCCAAGGACATACAACTGCTGATTTTTTAAACATTCTTACTATTTTATCCCCTTAGCATCAGTTAGCAAGTTGGATGGCTGGGATTTTTTGGTTTTTTATAATTACCAATAAGGAACTAAAAGCGTGCCTTGCCTAAACTAGAAGGATGTTCCTAAGGCACCAAAGGCATGCACCTGAAGGGGCAGTGTAAGAACCTGCACCGTTAAATTAGGAATTTAAATAACTTAATTATGAGTTTAAGAAATAATTTCATAATTGACCTTGGATAAATATAGAAAGATTAGAATAATTAATGAGAAGGACAAATAATGCTTAAATCGTTGTTGTGATGAAAATTACAGATAACGGTTCCACTTCACAGTATAAGTGCGTACCGGTGAAGTATCCCGAAAAATTATAATAAGTATATGAATATTCCTAGAATAATATCTAGGTCAAGAATACCAATGTTGGAGTCATAATAATGAGTTTTGATGTCAGAACTAATACCGACTACGTATAAAACACGTACCGGTAAAGTGTTGCGAAAATTATAATAAAAATATGAAAAATCCAATAAAAATGGCTAGGTTCAGAATATTAAGTTTGGGAGTGAAATGATTGCAGAGCTATTAGAACTAATACCGACGGATTAAGTCAAGTGCACTATAAATAGACACTTGCACAATAATCTAGGTCAAATTTTCTGATTTTCTACGTGGAGTTCCTTGGGTGCCTTGGCTACCACCTTCTCCTATAGCCCTCCTTGTTTGAAAACCTCAAAAATTCCCACCTTTCTTGTTGATTATTCCTCTTTGACTCTCTATACACTTGAGAGCAACCTTGGTGAGGGAGAAAGGCTCCCTATTTCTGAGTTTACAGCCACTCAATGTGAGGGTTGAGGGCTGTCCACTGAGTTGTTGAGGTGAAAGTCAGTTTCTTGCACATTTGGAGCTTCAAGAAAAAGGACCAAGCTTGTGGGCCAATTTCGTGGCATTGTAGTGGCAGAATCCTAGAGTGGTGTAGAAATCACCAAGTCACTTCCTTTTTCTGTTTTCACAAGCCTTGAGGTAAACCATGATCACCTCCTTTGAAATTTCATGAGTTTAGCTCTTTAAAAAAGGAAACTTTGATCATTTAAGTTAAGGGTCATTAATATATGCCTAATAAGTGGTAAGGAACTTCTGTTTGTGCAGACATTGGACTCCAAATCGTGTGAGGACCCTTAAAATGGAGATTATGCAGAAACTGCACGAGTTTTTGCATTCTGTCTGATAAGTATTCGAATACTTTTCGTGGGGTATTCGGATACTCATCAGGAGGTATTCGAATACTCATCGAGGAGTATTCAGATACTTTTCTAGGAATGGAAGTATTCGGATACCTTAGTAAAAGTATTGGGATACTTGTGGTATTCGAATAGTTATCGGAGAGTATTCGGATATTGTAGTAAATGTATTCGGATACTTTGTGGTATTTGAATACCTTAGTGGAAGTATTGAGATACTTTCTGGGAGCTTAAGGTATTCGAATACTTATTGAGAAGTATTCGAATACTTCTGGCAATTTAAGCTTAAAATCACTTAAAACAAGTTGGAAAGTCTTAAACACTATGTAGAACCTTAATGGAACTTTGGGCTATGAATATTAATGATATTTCTGGTATGAACAGACCGTGACCTTGCTGTTTAGTGACCCGGGGTTTTAGCTTGAGATTGCTAGCTTGACAGGTAAGTTTTCGTGTCCTCGGTTTTGCCCATTGTTGGTTCCACCATACCTAATGGAGGAGTGGTTTATATGCATGCTGTGTTTTGATATGAAAATATGTGATGATTATTGATATGCTATTGAGCTGTTTTATGAGTGCAAATGTCATATGATATGTATGTGATGTTCTACCTAGACGGTAACCCCTGAGTATGTGGAGACATACAAGATGGTAACTCCGTGGGTGAAGTACAGGCGAGGAGCTTTGTACTGTATGTTGTAGACGTATGTAAACCCTACCTTTTATTCTCTAGCAAGTAGGATGCATACACACACATGACATGGATATATGCTGCATTGCTCAGATTTTGAAAATTATATTGCTGTTATTGTTTTGGAACTTATATTGCACATGTAAGTGAGCTTGGGGTGGAGAGATCCTTAAGGACCCCTTGTCTTACTGAGATTTCTTTTTAAAGATCTCATCCCGTGTTGGGGCACATTTTCAGGTACAGGTACCTCGGGGGTTGAGACCTCTAGTGGCAGGAGGCCGGAGTTGAGTTGACTGACGCATGTTTACTATTCTATCTGTATTACATGATTATGCCTGATTCTCATTTATAGCTATTGTATTTGAGACATGATGATTATGTTGTTTTATTTGGTGAATATGGGGGTTGTCCATGCCACATCGTTATCCGACATGTTTGTTTATGCTTGAGTTGTATAAGCGTATCTGGATATTGTCCGGTCTACGTGTGGTAGTTCCGTGACTAGATACATATATATTTGATGAGATTATTCAGTTAGTTATTTATTGCAATGTACATACAGGCAATATTTTGAAAATGAATAAGTAATCCACTTGGTTAATAATGAATAGTTCATAATTGGAAAGAAAAAGCTTCCGCATTTATTTAAGCTGCGCCATTACCATATATATGTTTAATACACCGGGTGCACACAGGGTGTTACAGGGGCAGCTCCTCAACCAGCAAGAGGCATTGACCACTTATGGCACCTTAATGACCACGTTGCAAGTTACATTGCGATGCTTAACCAATTCACAAATATCACAATAAAGGACTCATCAGACTCTTCTGGAAACAAAGAAACAAAGAAGGAATAGGGTCTGATTGTTTATGTTCTTCAAAACAGCTTTGTGTTTTAAGAACTAAAACATAAAACAAAACTTGTTTGGTTACCCAATTTTTATTTGATTACTTTGAAAACTTGTTCTTCATTTCTTGTTTTTAGAATAGAAAAACAAGAACACATGCTAGTTGTTTTTGATTTTTTTTTTTCCTTCTTGTTTTCATAAATTCTCAGTTCAAACCACCCATGTCGCCGGAGCCGCCGCCACTGCCACTGGAGCATCATCAAGCTTTCAAAACTTATTCTCAAAACAAAGTTCATCAAAAAAAAAATTTGATATTTTTGTTCTGTAAAATAATTCTATGAAACAATTTTCAAAAATGAAAACAACAAAAACAAAATCAAACAGACCCATAGACTTTAATAGAGAGAGAATGATGTCAAAGGCACCTATGTTGGAGCCAATTTTGTGAAGTAGAAGTCTCAGAGCTATACCGATGGCAAGAAACTGGTAGCTTTTGATTGGGACAAACCCCAACTTGTTGAGTGAGGAGATAATGTAACCCTCCTAGATCATTCATACCATCCTCAAAGGACAACGGAAAGCTTAACCATATTGAAGAGAAATCACTTGATTAGACTGACCCAAAGTTTGAAGTGTAGAATGATGATGACTCTTTCATTAGGATCAGGATGTGGAATTCTATGACACCAAAGGTTAGTTGGACTTGCATGTTCTCACCTATGGCTCGTGAAAAAAATACCAACTTGAATGAAAAATTACTGAATATTATTATTTTTGAATAATATTCTACATGGGTTCAGACTATTTTATAGACCTAACTAAATAATTACTCACCTAAAGTAATGACTAATATATGGAAACAAAATATTTACAATAATTACAATGATATGCAGTGAATATTATGCAGTAAGGAATAGTAAAAAGATGTTGGACTATTACAACACAATTAAAACACAGGATATAAAACATCAATACTTGAATAGGTTCAACAATTATAGGAATACTAAGCAATCTAGAATTTTAACACAAAATTCCTCTACCCGTACAAACTAGAAGCCAGACAGCCAGTTCCAGCGAATGTTTCAGAAAATAATCACACAAAACAAAAGTGAATATTTCATATTTTAATGGCATGCAGTTATCACATTTACAAAACATACCGCTTGCCTGAATGCAATGCAAACCTCTCTTGCCATTTGTTTCTCAGCAGGAGTAAGTAACACTGGATACCTAACCTGCCAAATGAAATTATAGACACTCTTCAACAAGAAATTCAAATGACTATTAGTCTGTTATTGACAGCTATGTAGTTAGTTACTAGACAGAGTTAGTAATTAGTTAATTTTGTTAGATTAGTCCATAAAAGTACACTTTTTATCATTCTGAACTAAGTTGAATACAGAATAGATTCAGAGCTTCTCTCAAAGTTCATTTTCCCTTCTTTGCATTTTCCCTCTCTTTCTATCATTTTCTCTTGTTTTCTATTATGATATCAGTTCCACTGAATGGTATACAGAACAGATTCAGTGCTTCTCTCGAATTGCTTCTGAACTGATAATGGCAATTCCAAAGCCTTCTTTTTAATATTCGTCTCATAAACCAAACCGTTCATTTCTTATATGGACGACGACTCAAACTCCACATGCAAATTTATGTGGAAGTTCTGAAACAATGTACCATCATCATAGTAGTTCTCTACTTAGTCAATCATAGGGACAAAATGTAGATTAGAAGACCTGAAACTGACATATGAGAGAAGAGGCTAAAATGTTTAGCAGACTACTTACTTCCTTCCCATCAGGATTTCTCATAACAACACCATCAACCACCGGGGACTTCCTAGCCTCAGCATGAGCATATTCAGGCCCTACTGTATACACCTGCAGTCATTTGCAAAAAATTTGAAAATCATTTCTCTTGTGTAAAATTATGGAGAGATATGGCACATGCCAGAGACATATCAAATATATAATTAAAAAAAAAAAGCCAAAAAAATAATAAAATAAACACAAAGCAAAATAAAACTCAAAACTGCCAAACCTTAACGTCTGTCCCTCCAGTTGGCATGAACTCCTCATAAATATAGGAGCCTTCACGCCTCACTCTTCTCACCTCTGGATGAAACTCACTAGACCTGTTGCCAACCTAAGATCATAAAATACCCAAAACAAACCAAGTTGCTTAATTATATTCAGACATAAGACTGAAAAGAAAGAAAGGATAACGTCACTTTGGTACATGGAATGCATACAGAAAACGAATGAAATGAAATGAGTTGGAATGTAGTAGAATGGAATGGTAATTCCCCATCCATATTTTGCTACCATTGTTGTTAGGTACAATGAATCAATGTGGAACAAATATAATATAAAATCATTAATGTGGCCCTCACCCAAACCCAGCTTTGGGTGAAGGCCACATTAATGGTTTTATATTATAATTCTCTCACACAGTTGAAGTTGATCTAAGTGACATAAATAATAATAATAATAATAATAACATTTTATGCAACATGAATATATATTATTGAGAGCAATGTCCAGTTTAATTTTTAACAGTCACCAAAAACAGAGGAAATATCATTTTGTTTGTAGAATTGAGAAATAGAAATTTTAAGTGTGTAAATTGTCATTTGATCTGAATGTACAATATATACATTAAATTCTAATCATGTTGTCTCTATAAATATTTTAGTAATAACACACTCTATTGCTCATGAGATTTAAGTAAGTTAAAGGGAACAAGGATAATAGTTACATTTTGTAAAATTAATAAAGATTTGATGGGAAAACAAAAATTTAACCACATTCTTAGGAGCATGGAATCCTTAGCTGGGATGCGAATTAAATGCTCTATTCCTTTATTTGATAAAAGAAGAAATCTACTATGACAGAGAGAAAATGATTGCAAAAACTTGGGAGGATATGAGATCCTAAAAATATAAAAAAGAAAAAGAAGGAGAATGTTACGGACTCTACTCCAAGGTAGGCTTGGCAAAAATGAGCCAACCCATCGGATTGACTCGTAACCCGGCTAAAATGAGCCGAGTTGGGTTAGGAAAAATGAGTTAGTAACTCGAGTCAGCCCGACTCGTTTCAGCTCGAAAAAAACCGAGCCAACCCACGGGTCAAACGGGTTGGCTCGCGGGTTATGGTTTTTTTTTTTTAATATAAAAGTATAAAAATTAATGAAGGTAAAGTGGAAAGCTAAAACCTAAAATCCAAATTCCAAAGACCCAAATGAAAATACCCTGCAACTACCAATAAGTCCAAAACCGTGCATTCAGGACTTTTTTTATAGTATGTGTGACAATGTGAATGTGGTGCCAACGCCAATAAGTCCAAGTCCAAATGCAAAAGGAATTTTCTATGGTTTATCTGTATAACGTCTTTGTATTGAATGAATTAATAATTTAGGGAAAAAATTTAGAAGTTATAGCATCAATGAAATTTTATTTTATTTTTTCCATTTTTTCGAGCCAACCCTAACCCGACTCGTTTTTTTCAGGTTGAACGCGGGTTGGGTCGGGTTGAGCCGGGTTGGCCCGTTTTGCCAACCCTACTCCAAGGTATGGGGCTTGGAGTCCCACATCGAAAACATAAGGGTCTGGTATGGGGTTTATATGGACTTTGGGCTCTTCTACCTCATGGGCTAGCTTTTGGAATGAGGCTCTCCCAAGGCTCATATCAATTGGAATCAAAACCTTCCACTATGTCTCCCAGTTGCAATCGAGAGGCGCGAGTGGTGATGCTGGCATTGCAGTGTTCGCCCAGGGTTAATAAAAAACTAGCGCAAAGCCAGCCTGTGTAGGCGCGGAGCTGCAGAGCGTGGTGAAATGTTACGATCCTACTCCAAGATATGGGACATGGAGTCCCACATCAGAAACATACGGGTCTGTTGTGGGATTTATATGGATTTTGAGTTCTCCTACCTCATGAGCTAGCTTTAGGGGTGATGCTCTCCCAAGGTTCATATCAGAGAACAAAGAAAACATTAATAAAACAAAGTCATCCAATCTCAACATATCTGTAAAGAGAAACTATTGTAAAAAGATAATATGCTTTACACCAATTACAAGTCAAATAACTTATCTCAAAGAACCTATATGGAAACTCAATCCCACATCTCTAGGAGGGTATGGATTTCATGCTCAATTCGTAAATTTGTGGAACGAGGCATGGAATGAAAGCACCATTCCATTTTTTTAAACAAACAACCTCTTTCCATGGAATATTCATGGAATGAAATCACTATTTCTGTGTACCAAATATCACCCAAGTTGTTAGAAGAAGACCAAGAAAAGGTTTTAGTTATAACTATAACAAAGTGTATAAGCTTGCTTTAAGATTACAACCAAGTTAACCAAACAGCTTAAATTAGAAAGCTTGATACTTATTACAAGCACCAAAACAAATAAAAATTAACGAGTAAAAAGCATAAATAGCTTGCTTTGGTTACTCTCTTTTTTTTCTTCGGACTTACTATTCGTTACTTAGGCAGGTAAAAAGCCAATACAGCCAAATCAACAATTTTTTACCATGTCCCTTGGAAATGGAATGTCCTCCAAGATGATTTGATGTTAGCAGTACTACATTATACCCACCTAATAAGGGAGTGACATGTCAGCCTAAAGCTCACCTTCCTAAATAATTCCTTCATTCCTCCACCAGCTGAATTGGGATAGTATATCATTATACTATGGTTATCACCTTCACAAAACAAAATAAGTGTTATACCACATTCAAGAAAATATATTTGCAACTGGTTAAATATATCGAGTAAACAAAAAATAAAAAATGAGGTCAACATTAGAACTGAAAAGCTTTATTATTTATTAGGAACAGATAAATAGCAATTATGTAATCAAGACAGAAATCTGCATATAATTACATATAAGAACGTCTTTGAGAGTATAACTTCTATCATTTAATATATGGCACCAAAAGAAAAGCAAGTTAGATAACTGAACTCTGCAATACCCACAAATTTCTGATGTTCTACAGTAAGAAATGCAAGTATAGTATTTAGAGCTATGCCTTAGATATATAATACAAATGGCTTTCTAAAGATTCGTATGTCATTCACATGCTAAAGCAATTCAACGCAACGTCCACTGAATAAATAAGTTTTGTAAGACAAACTATTAGAACACACCAAACTTATTGCCTTCATGAATGATGGGTCATTCAAGTTTGTATTTCAGCATAAAAAGGGGACAAATAAGGCCCAAAGCAATCAGACTCATGATGATGTGGCAAATGGAAGCAGCCATACCAAAAGGGATCTGTGGGAATGAATATATTAGAGATTGTTAGAGGGGAGTACAGGTGGCAGGCTATGAATGGAGTGGGTGGAATAGGAAGTCGGATGTTAGTTATAAGGGACAGGACGAGGAGTGAAGGGGTATCTTAGAACTGAGTATCATTTTGGGAAGAAAGGGAACTCAACGAGGATAGGAACATTTCCTTATTAAGGGAGCCGGTATTCAGGGCACCTTTTCATTGTTTGTTTCTTTAATTTTCCATAAAGCATACTTATATTGTCAGTATAGCTTGTCTTGCAAGTTGTAGTAGGGTACTGAGTTGTAATTGCTGGTGATCTGGTCTTGGATCAGTTATTGTAAGGGCCGTCCAGTTTCTTGGTTGAATTCAATATTATTACTTTTTCTGTTACCATCAATGAACCAGATGAAAGAAACAAGGAAAAACAGTTTCGGTCTTAAATACAAGAAATGAGCTCACCATCAATAGGCTTCTCCACAAATGGCTTCCAGAAACGCATACCATGAACCTCAACAAAATCTTCTTCCTCAATGAAGTAATCCAGCTGTTGGTTTGGTACCTCCCTATTTACAAGGGCATATCTCGGAACAGAGATTCCAAACATTTCAAGACGCTTGAACCCCAAAATTGAACATTATTAAATCCATTATATAACAAGAAAGAAATAGCATAAAAGCATTTTAGCTGTAATTGAGCATACATTAACACACACCAACCAAATATACACATGATTTTACATATGTTTAAAGTAATTGGGAGCAAATGAAAATACAAGATTAATGCTGAAACGCAAGAAAATTGGTTAAACCAAAAAAATGACGCACACAATTCTAAATCAATTCTAGGGGCATCAATGATAACTTAATGTAAACAAGGACATTCGAACATAACAAAAAGAAAAGAAAGAAATTGATCCTTCCTACCTCATATACTTTTCTTCGATCATGAAGAAGGTGTTGTGGCTCCAGTTCATTGACTAGAAAAGGTCTGGATCACATTGCACAAGTTTCAGATCAACAAACATTGTTATCCAATAATTGAAAGAAAAATACAATGAACAAATAATAAAGGAACATAGTAAAAAAAAAGAGAGGTTATGTGAAGAAATTATTCCTATGCATGTACATATTTATGTGAGTATCACCATTGCCTGGGGGAAGCAAAAAACTTAGAGTCATGTTATATCCAGACGCGTAACGGAGAACAAGGAAATGAGATATATTCATAAAACTTTAATCTACATTATAGGTCTATGTCCACAAACAAAATAGACAGATGACCCACTTTGACAAATGAAGACTACAAAGCCAAGCCTCTCAATACTAATACCATAGTCAAAAACATCTAAGCTCACTGTGGAATATTATGCATTAAACCAACAACTGAACTTACAAGATACATATCAATCACTCGATGTCCATCTCCACTCCACTCCCTTCCCTTAATGACTTACTCCTAACCGATACTCACTTTTCACTCCTTTTGTCACGTAAGTGAGGTTGTTACAACCTAAATCTCCATTCAGTGACTTACATACAGTATACTCACTGTCTTTAGTCCCCTACTACCCTCCCTATTTCTCCTTCAGTAACTGCAGGAGACCTAACAGGCACACTTCACATCACTGAATCTGAGGAAGCTGGAGGATAGGAAATCTTACTGGAGAAAGAGAAGGAGGGAGAACAAAAAAAGAACAGCAAGCCAAAATAAACAATGCAGTAACAAAATCCGGTCACATTGCACATAAGTCATAGAAATCCCCTTTAAACATGCATGACAAAAGCAAACAAAAGAAGCCAAAAACAGAATCCTATCTCATAATGAAAGTAAAGACAGAGGACACCATTAAAAGGAGGGACATTCTCTTCAACCAAATACAGCAAAGAACAGCATAAACTGACACATGCATAAAATAATAGCTTCCTTACTCTAGCCAAAACCATGAAACCATATTATAAGAAACTGCTCTAAGATGAACAGACTATGAAAGTATGAACCTTTTCATCAGCACAGTTTGTTATACCAAACTGCTTTTATATACCAAGTAATCTTCATACCAAGTTTATTAGAGTGTTTCTTTTAGAAGGTAGTTGTCAAGAAGCTAGCATACAAGTATTCTCATACTGTATGATTTTCCCATCCTAGGTGTAACAGAACGTGATCCCAATAGTACTTCCAGAACATTTTAGAGTTGCATAATCCTATTCAGTGTTCTGATATTTTATAAAATTTACATCACATACAAATCAAATGAAGTTGGTAAATAAAATGGCTTACTTTCTTAAAGCAGCATATGCTTCAGCCTTTTCGAGGGGATATCCAGAGGAATGAAAAGCAATCAAACAGTCACATACTGGCCAGCTGAAAAACATGATATTTAAACTTAGTATGCAATCAGTGTGACTCTAAACATTTACAAAGTTGACAGCAACAAATATTTCAAATATAACTTACAAGTCCCAAATGCAAATATGATTTATGAAACTGTAAAGAATCTTGGGATACACCACCCCAAAAGCTAGCTCTGTTAAGTCAGGATGGACTAGAACATTCATGTTCAGGCCCCAACATTTTTGTCGCCGTTGAGATCCAGCCCCTTTTTCTAAGGTAGCTGGTCCAGCATACCCTCTCAACGTTGCTGTGGGCCATGATCAACGTATGACCCAACCCCCCCATACTTCACTTGATGGAGAGACACAGGCTACATATATAAGTGCACCAAACCAAGTATTGTTCCAACACCTTAATGTAGCCTCACCCAAGAGCTTAAGCTTTTGGGTTGAATTGGTTCTTTACATGGTATCAGAGCCTCGTGTCCCGGGTTCGATCCTCGCCGCCCCCCACTTTCTTTCAAGTGGAATTTCTTTGTTCGCACAGGTAGGTGGGCCTGTGCATTGTTCACCCTTCAAGCCCAGTGGGCTCTCGTGAGAGGGGGCGTGTTGAGATATATAAAACCATTAATGTAGCCTCACCCAAGAGCTTAAGCTGTTGGGTTGAATTAGTTCTTTACAGAAACATTGAAAAATAATGGGAAAAACTGTTTGATCCCTTGTTTGGAATTATGATAAGAACGAAAGCACAGTAAGGGGATAAAGTGTTCCCTATGCCGCATTTTTTTTTTCTTAACTCCAAAGGTGGACAGACAGAAAAAATGAAAGTAAAGTATTCAGTGAAACTATGTGAACTTCCAAATTTATAAAACCAATGAAAAGGAATCTGCTGGAAAAAATTTCATAAAATAAGAAATTTATAATACTTTTTCCGTTTCCTTTTTTTTCTCTTTTAGTGTGCTCCCAAATATACATATGCATGTCAAACAAAGGAATGATTATCAGCGTCATTACTATTCTCTTTTCAATAAGCTAAAAGTGGCTACTACCAATGGCATGAATCATGATAAAGAGCCTAAAAAAACTTCAATTTTGAATTTTAACTTTTCCTCACATAACATTAAGATAATTCCTACAAGACTTCGCTCTAGGGTGTACATATATGTCCTGAAAAGCACGAGAATAACCAACTTCTGTCTATTGATAGAGCTTGAGTACTGCATACCATTTCAATCCATGGGTCCATGGAGAGAACTAAAACCGAAAGCTATTACAAAATACTAAGCAGGTACTTGATCAAACAGATGTAGCTTTCTAGAAAGAACAATAAATAGTTCTTCAAAATGTAGAGTCCAAGCAAGTTCCAACTAACGATGTCAATTATACCTCTCTATTGGTTCTTCAAGGATGACCTTGTCCCCGAAATGTATGATCTACATACAATATAAAGTTCACGTGAGAAAAAAATGCAAAAAGCATAACCATGACGATCATCTCTGCTACTACGCAACAAAATTATGAGAAAAGAAAAGAAAATAGAACAAGTACATTTTAATACTGTACAAAAAGAAGCAATATAGACTGTGCTGTTATCAGTAGATTCATGAACAAGCCAATTCCAAATCAATGACGATAGTCAGAGCATCAAATAAACCTGAACATTCACCAACCTCAAATTCACCAAATGCTTGTAACCTCTGAAGAATCTGCTCCATAGGAGCCGAGAAAACCTGCAATACAAAATAGTGCCGCGAAGTCATACACATTCATAACAACTCGTTGCGATTCTCTCTGTTTTCAGAAAGAAAAGAAAAAAAAAAACAGCAAAACCAGAAAGCAAAGAAGAAACACTGGATTCAGCGGGAAAAAAGAAGAGAGAGAACCTCGGAGCCACATTTCACCTTCTTTTCCATCACGCAGACTCCAATCGTTATCTTGTTAGCGGCAGCAACTCCCTCCTCATCCTTCTCCTCCGCCATCGCCAATAGAAAAATTTCAGAGGAAAAAACTCGCAACTACTCACGCCTCTTCACGAAAACCAGCAGAACTCAGGAGCACGACGCCATACGATAGAACTGCAGAACGGTAAAATCTAGAGAATGCAGAAACGATGCAGAGAAATCAAAGTAACGAGGAAAAGAAAATGATGAAAAATGTTATCGCCGACTCGGATTTTATATTTATAGTTGAGAGACAGTGCAGAAAAGCAAGTCACATAGCAAGCATGGAAGCACACACCTAAAGGTTACAGATACCAGTAGCTAGCTAAAACCCCTATTAACAGCCACTTAATATCATGTATGGTTTACATCATTTTCTGAAGATATTTTTTTTTTCTTACTTTAAATATTTTTTACAAAAAAAATTAACTCATTTGTGATTAAATGAAATTAAAATTCATAAATAATAATTTTCATAGTCAAAATAATATATAATTAAATGATAATATAAAAATTTATATGAATAAAGAGTATATGTTTTTTAATATATAAAACGAAATAGATTGTATATGTGGCTCGAAATGGAAATCACTTGGGATTCTGGAATATGCAATGAAAAGTGGGGTGGTAAACTTTTTAATGGAAGAACATAGGTTGATAAAAGGTTCACAAGTTCAAATTGGATATTGGGATACCTGAAATCTACATCTGTGGAAGAATCCATGTGGAACTTCACTATAGGTTGTTGTGTTGCTGCTTTATGTGTCACTATCCCAATATGACACCACAATAATATTTTATGAGGTCATGGTCTTTTTGAGTAACCTTGGAGCCTAAAAAAGATTAGTCATTAAATTAATAACTGGACAAGTGGAATATGATATGTTAGGCGCCTAATGTTACATGACTTGAGGCCCCCACTTGTAAAGATCCCATGCCTGGGTGTTTCTGTTCTTTAATTTGTTCTACTTTTTCATCCGAGATTCCCGTGGCTACTTGTTAAGCATATTAGAATCATGCACGTATTATTTTATTGAGGTTGTGATAAACAAATCATCTTGCAATTTGTTAACTCTGTTTTTAGAAATTAAAAACTAAGTCACGGTGTTCTTTTGTTTGTTAATTGCATGTATATTCTTGACAGAATCTGGAAGATTTAATTTTAAATACTTAATCAAACTTGTCTGTAGACTATGCTGTATATTAACAGTGTTTAAATGTTGAAAACTGATTAATATACTCTGATTCTCTGAATCATGTTTAATCTTTTTGTGAATTGTTTAATATGATGAGGTATAATTACTGGAAAATGAGAACAGTAAAATTTAGACGTATGACATTTAATATATTTTATTTACGGAATCAAGTATGTTATTTTTTGTTTTGGCGGATGAATCACGTATGTTATTTTTGTAGCTCGTAACGTACCTGTTCAAGTTTCATGTAATAAATATAGGAGTTTTATTTTCTCATAGACACATAATATACTGGGTTCACCACCTATTAAAAAAATGATGACACAATTTTTGATGTGAGAACAACATAAGATAATTATTTCACATAAAATGAGATAATGATTTTTCATAAATATATTAAAGAGTTTCCTTTTTGTATTATGTTTACTATAAAGTTAGGGTATATTTACAAAAAATTTATTTACAAATTATATTATGTATTATGGGTAGTACATGCTTAAATAATGTGTATGATTCATAGTATATAGTATAATTTGTAAGAATTTATAAATAAAAAATTTATAAATATAATATTAAAGTTTTCATTAAAAGGTAATAGTACCACAAAATATGTGACTAGTGCACACTACTATAAAAATTAGGGGAATATTATTCTTATATTATATGAGAGAAAAATTCTTGCATGTACTCATAATTTAAAGCTGGGATTTATTTTATATTTTTTCTCTCTCTTCTCTCCTTTATTTTGTGAGTGCATGAGAAATTTTCATTGTTACATAAGAGTAATATTCTCCCAAAAATTATGTATAACAGAAAAGTTGTTCAAATAAAATTAACATGGTGTTGTAAAATATTTATGCACATGACTATTTGGACTTTTGATGTACCTTATCACCACTATATTAATGGTGAGTGAAAATGTAATTCATGACTCTTGATGTCCCTTATAAGTTATAACCACTGTATTAATGATGACTTGAAATGTAATTATTCTCTATTCATATTTAGAGTCCTATAAAAGGACATCACTTCTACGTGAGCGAATGAGAATAAGAATTTTACTCCATTTTATCTTCTCTCTTCTCTGCTCTTTCTTCGTGTCTCCCCCTCTTCTTTCTTCTAATTTTTTAAACATGGGACTTTTTTATATTTTAAATTATAACCCTTTTTACTTTTCATTTTTTTTTCTTTCATATCTTTCTTTAACTTATGATATTTTTCAATTTATAAACTTTATGTTTAAATTATTTATAACTATTTTTAAACAATAATTTAAGCGCATTATTTATTAAAAAATACATTATTATGTATATTATAATACATTATTATGTATATTATTTGGAATAGATATTATACCTACATTTTTTCATATTTACTTTACTTATTTCTTTTTGATATTGTTAGATCACAAATTACAACCAATTAACCTTCATTGTTTGTACCTCCTCCAATTGTTGGTTGAGATTGTGGTCTAACAATTTTGGAAAGAGATAAATAAAATTGGCATAAAAAAAATATAGACATGATATCTTATCCCTTTAAATAATTCTTAAAAACAATTTTGTTTTATATCTTAAGGGGAAGAGAATAACAAAAATACCAATTGATATTTCCACATCAACATTTAATTTGTTAATGATTATTTAACGTTAATGTAAGTCGTTTATAATAAAGTAATCTTTCCCCACGTGTATAAAATTATTCGAGTTTTATTTTCCCTTATCCTTATTATCCAGATAAGACCAACTACGCGAGATCATCTTCTGTACATCTGTAGTATGTACATCTGCTATTCAACAAGTGACACTTGGATAAAAAAAATATTTTTCTTTCTTTTCTATGCAAACATGACAGTCATTCCTCTTTTTTTATTAAATAGATACAATGAGTGAATGGTACAGCAGTAGTACCATAGATATTTCCCATTGAGCCAGTCACTAAGGCCTAGGGATATAAATAGGCTAGGCTAGGCAAGTGTAAACAATATTCTGTATGGTCTGGCTTGTTAGCCTGTGTAGGCCCCAAATTACAAGTCTGGTGTGACCTATATTTAAAAAGTAAAAGCCTTGACCTAGGTCTGTTATCCTGTTTAAGCCTATTAAACATTAAACAATTAAAAGAATAATTAAAATAATATTACTTTTTTATTCAAAATTATTAAAATAATAATTTTATTTTAAATAAATAATATGATACAGGTCGGCCTGTAAGTTTATAGGCCCGACATGTACAAAAAAAGCCTATGGCTTGTTTTCTAAATAAGTTTTCTTAAAAGCCTAGGCTTGTTCTATTTTACTATTTATAATATGTTAAACCTGACCTAATATAGGCTTGGTTGTAGGTCTCTATAAATCGGCCTAATCCACATTCCTACTAAGTCCCATCAATAAGATTTTACCCTTGCACCTTAAAGAAAGACAAATCTTTTTTGTCTCATATGATATGACTCTCTTGCACACGCACCTATTAGGCAACCATAATTGTCTCACACCTAATAAGACTCACAAGGGCAGAAATAATTATGAGTCTCTCCTTTCTTCCACCCATAAATACACTCTTTTTTCCACTGAAAAGGTATGTTTTGTACATTACTTCTCATTGGTGAAACTCTATAGAATTTCAACCACAGAACCACCTTGCTCTTACACTCCCCCTTGCTTCTCAACCTTCCCATGAAACGCATTACATATATCTCACTATATTACTGTTATATTGACATACTACATCCTAAAAGGAAACAGATCCAAACCCATATACAAACAGTTGATCATCTATTGGATAATTTTGTAAAATCCAAGGTAGTAAATAATGCAAGTAATATTCAGTGTTATAAATCATCAATTATCACTATATAATTAGAAAGTATTTAAACTTTTTTTTAATTTGTGTTTAAATTTTGAACGACTGGTATTAAATGAAATTTTTGAAAAATAAAATTAGATATAAAACAGGAAATATCCATTATAATAGTATTGATTTTTATTTTTATATTTTGGTTTCTCAAGATATCCTACACAATCGAAGACTTATCTTTTCGAGGCGGGAGATCACACATTAAGTGAGACTAATCCTTTTGAGGTGGGAGATCACAGATTAAGTGAGTAAACATCTCCCAACAAAGCCTTTTCCCAAGGTATATTGATTTTTATTTTCAATTAGATAAAATATGAACAATGACGATGAGGAGTATTTATAATTTTGTTTGTTTTATATTAGTGTTTAAATGAATAACATTGACTATGAGAAAATAAAATTGGATAATATAGAGAGAAAAAAACCCATTACAAAAATGGCCTGGTCCAGGGCCAGTATCGACACCTACCGGGGGCCACCATTGTGGCCGACACACTTCACGCTGTCGCCATCTTCTTGTCGGAATTTGCAGATTGGAATTGGTTCATGAACTGTCTCCGATTATCCACTTGTTACCCAAAATGGTTCGTGCTTTTCATTTTCCAAAATGTTGCATTTTTGGTATGCTAATATATACCCTTTCCCCCTTCCTTTTTTAATTACTTGGCTAGGATGTATCTAGTCAAAATCTAATCTAGAGTCTAGACCACATATATGATAAATGTGAGATGAAAACCAATTCAATAAAAGCCCAAAAGACCCAAAAACTTTAAGTTAAGCGTGAAGGAAACGAGCCGAATTAGGCCGAACAACAAAGTGACTTAACATACAAGGAAATATCATTGTCGATTCGAATAACTTGACCTACACATGAACCCAATAAATAAGTGGCAGCACTAACTCGTCCGAGCATCTACTAGGACTAGCCTAACCGTAGGCTTCTCGCTTAAGGAGCAACCTATGAAAGGCTACAATTTTCCACCAATGAGAATTGACACCGAAAGGCGGCACAAAACAAGGCACCTTACACTATAAATACTGAGACATTTAACCTAGGTAAGATCATCTATCATTGAATTTGTTTTCTGAGCCATTATAAAAAGGGTTTTATGTTTATCATGTAACATAACACAACTTTACTTTCCTACACACACATTAAAGAGGTAGGGTCCACATGTTTTTCTTTCTCCTAACACAAGAATAATTTGCTAACAGTGTAGCGAATTTCTGCATGCTTGACACATGTCATTTTTGCTGACTGTGCAGCCTGACATGGCATATTTCGTTATACTGTATAGCGAATTATATGCAAATATATTTTGCTACACAATATAGCGAAATATGCCGCGTGGCATTTTGGAAAAATTTACCGTTGACGTGGTAGTCTGGTAAATTTTTTTACCAGGTGTGGCAAATTGGCCACTCAATTTCTAAAATAGAGATGAAATATGGTTTTAAACATTGAGAAAAAAATAGGAAAATTACTAGAGCAACTATGGGTCTTGTTACGCGTTTTGGATTTCGATCAACACAATATACCCAATAATAGTAGCCACCTTATACGATCTTTGCAAAATTAACAGTATGCTCTAATTTATTTTGACATTCAATTAATTTAGTTTTGTAAAATATAACATTAATTATAATAGAGAAAACATTTTCTCATGTTGTAGAAGAATTGTTCTCTTCTATCAGTTATCCTTCGATTTTCGTGTAATATTCTTTTTTCCTTTTTCTTTTTAAATAAATATGGGCCACATATAAAATGTGTCTATAGCATGAGATACTTATTTCCTACTACATGAAAAAATCGAAACCCATTATAATAATTCAATAAAAAATAAGGATAAAACTAACTATCATCGTTGGAGTTTTTTTTGTTTATTCTAACATTAGATAGCTAGGATTAAAATCAGTCACCAACATTGGGTTTGTGGCCTACAAATTATATTATAAGATCAACTATATATGGTTTGGTAAGTTAAATATCGAGATAGAATCATTTCCAGTCGCATTGTTAGACGTTGTGCAAACAAGATGTGGTAGTAATTGCAGCTATATGAGTGAGGTGTTTGGTGTGAGCACATTGGCATGTCTCCTCTCTCATATATGCTCCTTCTTTCTTTCCCCCACTCTCTATTTCTCATTGATTTCGTTTTGATCGTTTGATTTATGGGAGAATCATTAAATTCTTCATATTTGCAACAAGCTACTTTTCCGAAGCCCTTCTCTCCAATACCAAAGATAATACTTATACTTACTTTAGATGGGAGAGATAAACATAACAAGACAAGTAGACAACTAATGTTACAGTCTTTCATAATGAGAATAATAAATTCTAAAGTTGTATACACAAAGGGGGAATACGAAGTGTGGAAACTTACGTTGTTGCTGTTGTTCCACCAAAACGTTCTAATTGTTTTTTCTTTTCCACTTTCCTGAGTTTTCCTTTTTCCTTTTCTTTTCTTTTTTTCTTCCACGAGTGAAAATTTGGGTTATTAAGGGAAGAACTTGTGCCAGCATGAAGCTTCTTTTGTTTATACTGAAAGCAAGAAATTTGTATGACAAACTAAGAAAAATGTGCAGGACAATTGGTATAACAAACTAAGAAAAATTGGTATAACAAACTAAGAAAAATGTGCAGGACAATAATTACCTAAGCTCAAAAGTCAAAAACAGAAATTGCATAAGGAATGTGGGAATAAAAGCAAAATTTGCACGATGTTGCAAACAAAATCAAAATTTGTGAAAGTTAAAGTTGAGAACCCTAGCTTCCACAACCTATCAACACCATCAAATAAAGATTTTAGCTAGGTTCCAAACCATCCATGTTAATGAAAGAATAGAAATATCCCTAGTTTGCAAAAAAGATTGTTGAACTTGCAAAAGTGGGAGTATAAATGAAACTGGTAGAAAATGCTCACCTTGGAATGAGGAAGGAACCACGACAACGTGCATATCAGTATTGTTGGGAGGTAATTGTAAACGAAGGGGATAAAGTTTCGCGTTCAATGGGTTGCGGCAACATACGAGAATATCATCTTGCCTTGTCTCTTCCTTTAACTTTTGCTTCAACTCCTCCACACAACTTCCTTTGAATGTAAAGAATTTTTCTTCATTTTCATCATGAACATCCCCATTTTCATCACCCACATTATAAAATATAATCCTTCCTTCTTTCACCGGTGAATCGGTCTCATCTAAATCTCCGCACTGCATAAAAAAAAAAGGAACAGTATAAGATAAATAGGGTACTTTAATTCATGCCACTTAGCTCTAAATTACCAGATGCACATTTTACTTAATTTGAATTAAAAAGGAAAAGAATCACCAGGACACATTACACTATGGGATAAGATATATGTCTAGAGAGAATATTCTTATTACCAAAAAATTTTACTACCTATCTAATCACCATTGAATCAAAGAGAGAGAATGCTAAAAAAATTTTGAAAAAAGAGAAAATGTTGATCCAAAGGTGATTAGATAGTTAGTGAGTTGGTAATAGAAAATTTTAGTAGTAAGAATATCCTTTCTCATATTTACAAACTCAAAGTTTACAAACTCTTACAAACTACATATTATGGATAGCACATGCTTAAATAATATGTACTACCCATAATACATAATGTAATTTGTAAAAATTTGTAAACTTTGAGTTTGTAAATATAATGATTCCCTTACATTATATGGTTATTTTTGTCGCATTTTCTTGCCAAGTTTAATTAACAATAATATGGTCATATATATATATATATATATATATATATATATTGAGTATGGAAAGAAGCAACATATATCTTATTAGGGTAGCCCAATACGACGTTGTTTTGAGGCGGAAATCATGGTATTTTTGTAATTTTAATTTATTTCAGGGTTATAATAATCTTTATATTTATAATTTTTTAAGATTTCAATACCAAAACGACGTCGTTTTGGAAATAAATGCAGATAACTTATCTGCATTAATTGCAGAAATATTTTTCCCATCTTATTATCTCTCTAATTTAATTAAAAATTTGAGTAAATTATTCTCGCCTTTCAGAAATTTTGTCTTTGTTTTATGAATCTCCTATATATTTTAAGAACCATGAAGAGGACAGATCAGTAAAAAAAAAAATCAAGCAAAATCAGGAGAAATCTGTGAAAAAAGAAAAGAAAAAGAAAACATTGTATAGAGTTTTCGGATACAAATTTATAGTTTCAGTAAGAGTTTATGATGTAAAATCTAAGAAGTAAAAGAGTGATATATCTATAAAATATTTGACTGAAAAATCTTTGGACAACACGAAAAATGGAACCTAAATATGTCCTGTGTACCATACCAAGGGAAATTCTCCATTATTGTACTCAATAATTTCTCGCCATGCATCACTATACCATTATATGAATTATAAAATCAAATTTTTATTATACAAAAAAAAAATCAAATTTTTATGCATGGAACAAACCTCGATATGTCTGGGAGATCTGAGATCAATTACGGCAATGGAGTCATTATCTGAAAGTGTAGGAGAATGAGGAGGAGAACAATCCAATGGGGTAGAATTCTGAGAACTGGGCATGGTAATAGGCGCGGGCTTTTGTTCAGGTTTGGGTGGTTGTGGCCGAAGTTCTACAAGGTCCACATCCCACAGAATCCAATTTGTTGTTTTTGTCCTATGTGGGATATCATGTGTTATGGAGTTTCTCCATGGTGGTAGGCCTCCATTGGCACGCAAGTATTGTCCATAACGTGTCTTGAATCTTACATGCGTACCTTCTCTTATGGGTTCCCATTGCAAAGATGAATCTAATCTTGTGGGAAGTGTTTGCAATACTTTTTTACCCGTGGCACCTAACATGAATGGCATATTGGAGGCTGTTAAGTATTTTCCATAACAACTCTTCAATCTTATCGAGTTTGAATCCTCAACAATCTCCACGGTCCATTTAGCATTGTTGTAGCACCCGTTACGGTCTTGGTAAACTCCTTCGTCATCATCTGCCAATAAGTATTTGTCATGGTGGCTCCTCAGGCGCACCACTTTAGCCCTTTCGAAGAAATTCATTCCACTCTGAATCAAAATGTGTATCCCAAAATGTGATTGATGTTTTTGCAATGATGGGTGTTAATGAGATGCAAATAATTGATTGGAAATGGAGGTTTGAATTTGGGTTGGTATTAGCAGGTTTAGGCATAACACAAATTTAAAATAAGATGGAGCGTAAAAATAGGGAATATTAAGATAAGCTGGAATGTATGTTTGACATGTTAATAACGGATGAAAGAAGCGTACGTGTAAAATTAGAGGTACCAACTAATAAGTAGTTATAAAAATAGTACATGAGTTAATTTCAAAAGAAAAATAAAAGCACATAATTTATTGTGAGAAGAGCCCAGTATGCTCAGAATCAAAATATAATTCAATCTAGGAAAAAAATTGATAAAAAAGATAGTTATTCACATCCAGCAATTTGGCTTTGCATTAAATCATTATCAATCTGCATCTAGTCCTAATCCTCACCAATCCTAATTCTTTTCACCGTTTGATCGCCAACTAATTGATCACCAACCGAATGGGAGTTGAAACGACACCCAACTAGCAAAGCTGCAAAAGTTCTAGAATGTGTCCTTTGTTGTTGTGTGTAGGGTTTAATATTTTTGCTTTTATTGAAGTTTTTTTTGTTGCCATATTTACATTAAAATAAATGAATTCCATTGTATATAGAACAGAGAGAAAAGATTAATGAGACTTACTTAGAGTGTAGCAGAGAAATTTGTTGTGCAACAAAACAGAAACATTTTTCTCTTATTAAAAATAGATAAATAAATATTATATTAAACAATATTTATTATTTTAAATGATATAATTTTATGTCCTTTTTAATGAAACTATATTGTTTTGGAGTGTTTTTATATTCTCTCTTCTCCATTTTTTTCTTCCTAATTTTATATAAAAGAGAAAATATAAACAAATACAAAAAATATTATTTTACTTTTTAGCATGAATCATGGGTAATAAGGGATGAGAAATGTTATATTTATAAACTTTTTGTTTACAAACTACACTATGTCTTACTTGTAAGACACTCTTGAGTGAAGTCTTACGGGTGAGAGACATAGTCTATTTGTAAGTTTGTAAAAAAAAAAAAGTTTGTCAATATAACCATTCTCGTAATGGATATTAAAACAGATCAATGAAAATGGAAGACATTTTTCTTATTTGGAAATTTAATAATTGATAATAACAGAAAATGAGAATTATTCTCTACTTTTTTATATATTTAATTTTTGGGTTCGCTTTGCAAATAAGTTATCTGCAGTAAGTCTAATACGACGTCGTTTTGGGACGAAAATTATGGTTTTTTGTAATTTTAATTTATTTCAGGGTTATTATAGTCTTTAAAAATATAATTTTCTAATATTTCAATCCCAAAATGACATAGTTTTGTAAGTAAATGCAGATAACTTATTTGCATTAACTACAGAAATATTTTTCTGTTAATTTTTATATTCCTTACAATTAGAGTGAAATGAGAAAAATAATACAAATGTTAGAAAATGAATATGTTACCCTACATTACGTTTCATAATAAGGATTAGTATTTCTCAGATTATAAGAGATAATTTTATCTTTTACACACATAAAAATATGTGGGATTCGTATTCTCTTTTTTTATCTTTTCTCTTCACATGAACCCATATGGGACTCACATATTTTTATATTTGTGTAAAAAATAAAATTATCTCCTATAATATGAAAAATATTAATCCCTTCATAATATTACGTTTAACTCTTAAATAATAGCTTAAAATACAAAATCTTTGTATCTATTATTATTTTCAATGTTATTTTTACTGTCTATTATCCTTATAACACTTGGGATTAAAATAGAGTTATTTTGATAAGAATATTAAAAGATAAAAGGGTTTTATAAGAGTTATGTTGTAGGAAAAATGATTGTGTAATGTTATAGAGATTCGTTTTGCGTGCAGTAATTACTTTTTTTCATTTTTCTTCAAAAAGTGTGAGCTCCACTAGATGTTATGTGTAGAAAAATTTATTGTGTCATGTTAAATGACAAATGCAAGTCTCAAGATAAAATCATAAACTCCTTTTAAAACATGGGAATATAATCAAATTTTGAATCCATTAATCATTTTAAACAAAATAGAAAAATAATTACACTTCAGTCAACCGTTAATATGATAAATATTTGTTTATAGATATAAGTATAATATTTAATATATGGAGAAAGTATGTGTTATTTTAAATGAAGTGAAATTGTGTCTTTTTAAGTGAGAGAAAGAGATAGATTATATTATAGAGGAGAGAACAAAAAAAAAGGTGTGGGTCCCACTTCTTTCGAGAGTGAAATGAAATAAGTTGTGTTTTCCCTTAAAATATACATTAAAAGTCATGAAAAATTAAAGGGTTTGTTTTTTCTGAGTTATTGTAGATAAGTTATCTGTAGTAAGTAAGCCCAATATGATGTCGTTTTCAGGCGGAAATCATAGTATTTTTGTAATTTTAATTTATTTCAGGGTTATAATAGTATTTATATTTATAATTTTTTAAGATTTCAATACCAAAACAATATCATTTTGAAAATAAATACAGATAACTTAATTGCAAAAACAATTTTCCAAAATTAAATGATTATCCAACTTTATCAAGTTCCATTGCACGCCACTATTTTGTTTCTCAAAAAGACCTCTTTCTCCCTCTTCCTTCTCGTCCTCACTCACACATTTAGTTTCAGGTATAGAAACCAAATAACAATGAAGAAACTGAAGCACTATTACGTGCAGCATCACTCAACAGAACGAAGATGGGTTTTACCTGTGGCCGTAGCTTCGTTGCTATCTATCTCCTTTATCTTCTTCCTAGCAATAACTCCCATTTTCCCATTCTACCTTTCAACCACCACCACCAATCCTCACTCCCTCTTCGTCGAAACCAAGCTCCACCCACTTCCCCTTCCCCCCTCATCTCCCCAACCACAACCACCCCGCCTCGCCTACCTCATCTCCGGCTCCGCCGGCGACGCCGCCGCCCTCAAACGCACCCTCTCCGCCCTCTACCATCCCCGCAACCGCTACGTGGTGCACCTCGACCTGGATTCCTCTGTTGAAGAGCGACGCGAACTACAGAGCCACGTGGAGAGTAACCCAATCTTCCGAAGATTCGGGAACGTGAGGATGATAACAAAAGCCAATCTCGTCACATACCGTGGCCCCACCATGGTCGCCAACACCCTTCACGCCGCCGCCATATTGTTGTCGGAATGTGACGATTGGGATTGGTTCATTAATCTAAGTGCATCCGATTATCCACTTGTCACCCAAGATGGTTCGTGCCTTTTCATTTTCCAAAATGTTGCATTTTGTTTAGCCGTTTTGGTAATGATTTTTGTATTTTGTGGGTTTTGATTAACTATAGATCTGCTGCACGCGTTTGCATACTTGCCTCGCGATCTTAATTTCATTGACCATACTAGTGACATTGGGTGGAAAGAGTGAGTGAACTACTTTGTCTCTTTCTTTTTATTTTATTTTTACCCTTTTGTTGTTGTTTTTGTGAGTGAGATTATTTGACCTGTGTGTGTGTGTTATATGTAGTCATTATCGTGCAAGGCCAATAATTATTGATCCGGGGTTGTATAGGACTAAGAAACAAGATGTGTTCTGGATTACCCAGAGGAGGAGTAGGCCAACGGCCTTCAAACTTTTCACAGGTGCTCATTGTTTTCTTATCTGTTTTATGTTTTTGGGTTTTCTTTCTTTTAAGTTTATTTTAGCTTCTCTTTTAAGTTTATTCCTATTACGCATAGACTATAGAGGCTTTTGTGAAAACACACAAAATGTTAGCTCTTTGGAGTTAATTTTAATGAGTTTTGGGAATGGATCCTCTTACGTGGAAAAGTGGTCATGTTATTTGATCACAACCACTCATTGATGATAAGATAAGAGAGAGAAAAATGTATAATTTTTAAATGAGTGGTTATGATCAAATAATTTTTAAATGAGTGGTTATGATCAAATAACATGACCACATGACCACTTTTTCACATGAGAGGATCGTTTTAGCTTGCTCAGGAGTTAGGATTTTTTTCGTTAGAAGAAAGTTTTAGGTTTGAACGGATCGTGATTGGTTAAATTATTGAAGCTGAAGATATTATTTTGTATTTGTTTTAAGATGCATGGAAGAAAGTTTGATTGTTCTCCTGCATTCTCTAGATCCTGTAATTATAAAAGTTTTTGAACTCGGTGTGTGTAGAACTTGACTTTTATTTGTTAAGTTCTAGTTTATAAAACTACTCTGTCTTTTCTTGACATTGCATTCTTTACACCCTCTTTCTGTTTCACTTCAATAAATATACTTGTTGTAGGACAACAATCCACTCAAGGTCCTAGTTGGGATCGATTTTGATTGTAACGCTGTGCTGCAGATCCAATTTTGGTGCTTTGAGATTCTATTTTGATTGTAGGTGTTCTGATTTTTCATGACCCAAGCCAAGAACTTGGCTTGTGGATTGCATGCATATACTTATCTTTTGTTTAACCTTCAGGAGTTTTTAATTTTCGTTAAACACCGTAACTGCACAATCCTCAAAATTTGAAATTAAATTAAAGTTTTGGTTATGTGCCTGAGAACATATTCATATATGATTGCCTAAAACTTCCCTCTCTTGTTAGGTTCTGCTTGGATGGTACTATCGAGATCGTTCATTGATTACTGTATATGGGGATGGGACAACCTACCTCGGACTGTTCTCATGTACTATTCAAATTTCATATCTTCCCCTGAAGGGTACTTCCACACTGTCATTTGTAATGCTCAAGAGTTCAGGAATACAACTGTTAGTAGTGATCTACACTTCATATCTTGGGACAATCCTCCCAAGCAACATCCTCACTACCTTACACTTGCTGACATGAAAAGGATGGTTGATAGCAACGCTCCCTTTGCAAGGAAGTTCCACAGAAATGATTCAGTTTTGGACAAAATTGATGCTGAACTGTTGTCCAGAGGTCCTGGGATGGCTGTTCCCGGTGGCTGGTGCATAGGAAGCAGGGAGAATGGGTCTGATCCATGTTCTGTAATTGGTAATACCACTGTCCTCAGACCTGGCCCAGGTTCAAAAAGACTTGAAACTTTAATCACATCATTGTTAACAGATGAAAATTTTGGATCAAAACAGTGTGTGTGACAAGAACTAACTGTCAACAGCGGTCTTAAAAAGATTATTTCACCTGCCACCTGCTTTGGTTTTCATCTTCAGTTTTAGTTAGCATGATCAGTGAGTTAATGTGCCTTTTCAGTTGGAAAAGTTAATATTGAGAGTATAACATCATCTTTAATATTGAGAAGAAAAAAGTGAGACAAATCTGGTGGTGCATATTCTGCAATATTATGACTTAAATGACAGAATTGACTCTGTAGTCCCTAGTTACCATTGAATAATTCTTGGTGCACATCACCTCACTTAGAATCAAAGGGTAGATGAGAAAAATGAGGTGATATTGCCTGAAAATAGATGAGAAGAACAATGTAAATGTGAGTTGTCTTGGGATTCAAGTGAGTAATTAAAAAGTCGCCCATTAGAAAAGAATGAGCTAAGTATAGTATATATAAGTGAAAAGACTCATAAATCCCTCGTTATAATATTATATTCATCTCTCCTTTTCACTTGCCTTGAGCAATCAACAGCCAGCATTGAAAATTCTTAGGTCTAACTCAACTGAGAATATTTTAGCCGATGTTGAGCTTTACTGCTCTCGTTTTATTGTGTAACAAGCTTGATGTTGATTGTATGATAAGGTGGAGCAAGGGAAGGGATGAAAAAGCAAATGAAATGGAAAGAGCTTACTTTTTAGTTTTTTATCTTCTTTTTTTCTTTAATTTACAAGATGTCAAGATGCTTTTAAATTGTCGCTGTTATATGGCTTTGTTTTCATGTGCCTTGGGTACGGAAATTGCTGAAAGCTTTTTTTTACTTCTATAATAGACCGTCACTTGTTCTTCTCTCGTAACTTCATGTGTTTTGACTATATGCGGATATGCTGTTAGTTTGCATTTGCATAATATATCATGTTCATAAACCATAATATAAGAACATGATAAAAATCTTGGGAATACATGATTTTCACATACACATAAGAGATAAAGACATACCCGAAAACAATGATAAAGGATTAACAACAGTCATCGTCTTGTGAGCAATTGTATTAGAGTAGTTTCTCTCTCTAAACCTTCTTTACTTTAGTATGTATTCTGATGGAGAGAATGACATTAGGGTAGAAGGGGAGAGAGGACCATATATATATATATATATATATATATATATATATATATATATATATATATATATTCCATAACTCATAATCCTCATAATCTGGTAAGTCCATCATATACCAAATTAAATCAATGATTGAGATTAAGTGTATCAGTAATTAATTGAGTCATATAACGTTTAATGGGTAATATCCAGAATCTTAATATTATAATTATAATAAAATCCTTTTAATATTATAATTGATTCTTAATTTTTCTAACATTCTCCTACTTGGCCCGATTAATCTTAATATACATGCATCTCTTAATATACATTAATCTTAAAAGATAAATTGTCAAGTGTGAGTTATGGCAGTAGTGCGCTATTAATTCAGTACATTCCCTTCCATATACTAAAACACCAATAATTCATCATATAAAATTCATAATATAGGAAACATAATGGTCCACATAATATCTTACAAAGACTTCCTTGTCAAAATTCATAATGTGTATACAACCATAAAATAACAAGGAAACATAATGTATGTCAGAAACAGATAGGTGAGCTCAGAGTGTCACACATCAATAATCTTTAATACAACCAAGGCCCATACTTTCAACATGTTCTTTAAATAGCTTTGGTTGTAACCCTTTCGTCGAAGGGTATGCCATCATGTGTTCAGTTCTGATGTGCATAATTGACATTCCCTATTTCTGAACCTCCTTTTTAACGGAAAAATACTTTAACTCTATACGTTTGGCACCTTTAGAGTATCTTTCGTTTTTAGAGAAGAGTACTGCTGCGGAATTATCACAATAAATTTTCAGCGACCTGCTAATGGTATCGACAACCACAAGCCCTGAAATAAAGTTCTGCAGCCATAATGCATGAGTTGTGGCTTAAAAACATGCCACAAATTCTGCCTCCATAGTGGATGAAGCAACGATAGTCTGTTTTGCACTTTTCCACGATATGGCTCCTTGAGCAAACATAAACAAGTAGCCAAAGGTTGACTTTCTACTATCAAGACATCCACCAAAATCCGAATTAGTATATTCAATTACTTCTAATTCATTGGACCTTTTGTACATGAGCATGTGATCCTTTGTGCCTTGAAGGTATCTTAAAACTTTCTTTGCAGCTTTCCAATGTTCCTTTCCTGGATTACTTTGATATCTGCCCAACATCCCGATTGCAAAACTGATATCCGGCCGAGTACATGTTTGAGCATACATTAAGCATTTAACTTGTACATGAACAACCCCAGGTGAGCATTTACTCATATTAAATATCTCTAGAATTTTCTCAATATATCCTTTCTGAGATAGTCCCAACATCCTTGTGATCGATCACAAAATATTTCTATTCCAATCACATAGGACGCATTTCCCATATCTTTCATTTTAAAATTCTTTGAGAGAAAATCTTTAGTCTCACGCAATATACTCAAATCATTTGCAGCAAGTAAGATGTCGTCAACATAAAGAACTAAGAAAACAAACTTACTTCCACTCAGTGGTGGACCCAAATAATTTTATTTATGTCTGCACATTTAGGGATGAGGTTCGGTGGCAATGCTCAAGAATTTTTTTTTTTAAAGAAAGTTTTAAATGTATTAAAAAACAAAAGAATATAAATAAATAAAAAACTTGAACTTACTACAAAAATAAAGTACCTTTTAGGTCCTCAACAAAAATTACAGGACCCAATTTAATTCCTTAGAAAAAAATTGACTCGTGATCCTCTGAATTTCAAAATAGACCCATGTTAGTCTTTTCTAGGGACCAATGTAAGTTTTCTTTGAATTTCAGAGGAACCATGATTTCGACTAATCGGATCTATTTTGGAATTCAGAGGGACTGAAAGTCAATTTTTTTTTTTAAGAGATTAAATCGGGCCTTGTAATTTTAGTTTTTGTTTAGGACTCAAAATATTCTCTCTTTTTTCTTTCTTCCAAAAATTTGTGTGTGCACTTGCACACACTTGCACCAAAACAGGTTCGTCGATGCTTCCACTGATCTTCTAGTAAATACACCGATCAACTGTGTTTTTCTCAAATCCAAAAGATGTAATAATGGTATTGAACTTGATATACCATTGTCGGGATGCTTGCTTAAGTCCATATATTGACCTTTTGAGTTTACACACTAATTTTCTTTCACTTTCCATAGAAAAACCTTCAAGTTGATCCATATAAACTTCCTCCTCTAAGTCACCATTAAGAAAGGCTGTTTTCACATCCATTTCATGTAGCTCTAAATCATAATGAGCCACCAATGCGATAATTATCCTTAATGAATCCTTTTTCGAGACAGGTGAAAATGTCTCTTTATAATCAATGCCATCTTTCTGAGTATAATCCTTGGCAACAAGTCTAGCTTTATATCGTTCGATATTACCATTAGAGTCGTGTTTCGTCTTAAAGACCCACTTACAACCGACTCTTTTGGAACCTTCATGTAATTCGACGAGATCCTAGACATCATTCTGATCCATGGATTTTAGCTCTTCTTTCATAGCTTCAATCCATTTATCGGATTCTATACTTTCTATGGCTTGTGAAAACGAAACTAGATCTTTATTGATTCCAATGTCATAATCTAACTTTTGCAGGTAAACCACATAATCATTCGAAATAGCTGGCCTACGTTCCCTTTGGGATCTTCTTAATTCTATTTCATGTAGTTCTTGTGCATTAACATTCTGCAAGTTAGCATATGCTGGGAGTACTTCTTCATTCAAATGTTGTTCAGTGTTGTCATCTTATTCTACAACAACTGGAACAACATTAGAAAATTTAGTAGATGGAGTAACAATTATAGGCAATGAAACATTTACCTCAGTCTCCTTTAGAACATTTGTTAGTGTGTTATTTATTTATAATTATTTAAATTAATTAATTTTTTCTTAGTGTGTTATTTATTATGATTGAATCAGTAATGAAAAAATAATTAAAACATTTGTTAGGATTTTATTAATTGCTAATTAAAAATATTATAAGAATATTAACACAAAATTACTAATTAAAATTTTAATCTTTATAATTTTCATTATTAATTACTTATTTTTCTACACAAGATTTCTACGATTTTTTTCCCATATTATTACTATTAATTATAAAACACAAAGTATAATTACTTATTTTATAAATTACATTGATTATTAATTATTTACCCGAAAAAAAAACGCATGGCAAACCGATATGGCAAGGAAGGAAATTGACAGAATATTGACAAAACAGAAGAAGGAAGAATGTAAATTTTCATTATATATATCATTTGTTTGAAAGAATGTAAATTGAACCTTACTGAGCCGCAATCCACTTTGATGAGTAATATGTGAGAGCATATAAAGAAGCATCTTTAAACTTGTAGCTGCTTCAGCCGTAAAAGAATATAACTTCTCCTACATGTAAAACTTTCTTATGAAGAAAACAACATTAGAAAGAGATTATAAGAAAGTGGTTGTAGGGCATCGTGTCACATGAGGATGACATCGGCTATATACTCTTGCAATATCATGCAACGCTAGCTGCATTTCGCGATGTCATCCCTCATGCGACAAGACTTCCTCAACCTCTATTATTTTCTCTCTTTCTTTGTCCTCTAACTACCTCTTATTATTGCCAAGAAATGAATATATAGGAGATGGTATATACCTCTCCTTCTTTCTCAATATTCTAGCCACACTAATTGCTGACAAAGTTGCCCTTATTAATTTTGGTGGGGTACATGAAAAAATAGTCCTGACTTCAGAAGTCAAGTTGAAAGGTTGAATTGAAGCCTCGGTATTATTTCTTGATGTTAAAAATGTGACAATAAAGTTAAGTCGCTATTCTTTAAATACTATACCTTTATTTACTGTTTACATATATCGAAATTTTTTACCGTATTTATGTTTGAAATTAATATCAAGATTTATGTTTGATGCAATTAATTAAAGATAAACCTATAAACACATTAAGCCACAATTTTCGGAGAGACAAGGTAATGTTTGGTAACCGTAACAACGAGAAAGATGATACTATACAGATTCTATTTTATGTTTGGTTTGTTTTAAAAGTAAAATACAACAGGACATAAGATTGAAACATAATTTATTTTTTGTATAAACAAATAATATATTTTAATTTTACTAAATAAATTAAATGAGAGAATGTTTCATTCTGTTTTACATCCTACTTAAATGACTGAATCAGCCTCCTAGGGACAAACTGATCTGTTCTGTTAATTGATTTCTCACATTGGAAATAGAATCTATTCTCCGTTACGAGACCGTTATACCTCAGTCACTGAAAATTGAAAATTCAAACACAAGATGTCAACCTTTTGGCATTACTGCATGTGGCCATGTAATTAGGGAGAAAAATTAGGTATGCTTTGTGTCACTATCATCGAAAAGTATGCCAAATTCATGATAAGATTAAATAACTTTATGTAAGCAAAGTGTAATATATGATGTGCTAAAAACTTGACGAAGTGCCAAGTCTATGTTGTGTTGTCAGCCAATAAAGATAATCTGCAAAAAAATAAAAATAAAATGGAAAAG